ACTCACTAGAACATGTTTCATGCTAAATATCTTAGCTCTAGCTCTTTGAGTTCTTTAAAAGAAGATTTTTTAAGTTTTTACTATATGCATAAAGGGAATATCAATGACTCCATGGGGCGAGGCCAATTTTAACCCCAGGGCTTTTATTTGAACAAACTTGGTAGACTCTCATTAGAAGATGTTTCATGATGAATTTCTTAGCTCTAGCTCTTTGGGTTCTTTAAAAGAAGATTTTTAAGTCTTTACTATATGCATATAGGGAAAATCAATGACCCCCTGGGGCGGGGCAAATTTGACCCCAGGGCTCTTATTTGGACAAACTTGGTAGACATCCATTAGAACATGTTTCATGCTGAATATCTTAGCTCTAGCTCTTTGGGTTCTTTAAAAGAAGATTTTTTAAGTTTTTACTATATGCATATAGGGAAAATCAATGACCCCCTGGGGCGGGGTCAATTTTGACCCCAGGGATTTCATTTGAACACACTTGGTAGACACTCACTAGAAGATGTTTCATGCCAAATATCTAAGCTCTAGATCTTAGGGTTTTTTAAAAGAAGATATTTAAAGTTTTTTTCTTTCGGTTGTCATGGCAACCAGAGTTCTGCATGGAATTAAATTCTTTGAACAATTTTTAAAGGTGACCACCAAAGGAACATTCCGTGAAGTTTGGATGAAATTGGCTTAGTGGTTTATGAGGAGATGTCATTTAAAGTAAAAGTTTACGGACGGACGCCGGGCAAAAAGCGATCACACTTTGTGACAGGTGAGCTAAAAATAAACAAAGGGCAATAATTCAAAAAATAGGAAAAGAAAAACTACGTTTTTTTGTGCACTGCACTTAGTATCAATGAGATCTTTCTACATGTACCTACAAAGTTTCATGTTGATACCTTTTAAAGTTTTAGATTTATGTCCCGGACAAAGTTCAAAGTGTAAAAATAAACAAAGGGCAATAATTCATAAATTAAGCAAGGCAGAGTTTCGATTCCTCTGCACTGCTTACCTTCTCAATGAGATTTGTCTACCTTCAAAGTTTCATGTTGATACCTCTTATAGTTTTAGAGTTATGTCCCGCACAAAGTTCAAAGTGCAAAAATAAACAAAGGGCAATAAATCAAAAATTATGCAAGGCAGAGTTTCGGTTCTTGTGCACTGCTCACCTTCTCGATGAGATCTATCTACATTCAAAGTTTCATGTTGATACCACTTATAGATTAAGAGTTATGTCCCGGACAAAGTTCAAAGTGTAAAAATAAACAAGGGGCAATAATTTAAAAACAAGAGGGCCATGATGGCCCTGAGGTCGCTCACCTGTATATAGCCCCCGTCCCCCGCCCCCCGGCCCAATTTTTACCCAAGGGCTTTTATTTGTTTATTTGAACAGACTTGGTAGACACCCATAAGAAGATGTTTCATGCAAAACATCTAAGTTCTAGCTCATTGGGTTTTTTAAAAGAAGATTTTTTAAGTTTTCACTATACACATATAGTTTTAAAACAATGACATCCCACGGGCAGGGCCAGTTTTGACCCCCGGGCTTTTTATTTGAACAAACTTTGTAGATATTTACTTAAAGATGTTTCATGCTTAATATCTAAACTCTAGCTATTTGGTTTTTTCAAAGAAGATTTTTAAGTTTTTTGCTATGCATATAGGGAAAATCAATGACCCCCTGGGGCGGGGCAATTTTGACCCCAGGGCTTTTATTTGAACAAACTTGGTAGACATTCACTAGAAGATGTTCATGCCAAATATCTAAGCTCTAGCTCTTACAGTTCTTTAAAAGAAGATTTTTTTAAGTTTTTACTATATGCATATAGGGAAAATCAATGACCCCCCGGGGCGGGGCCAATTTTGACCCAGGGCTTTTATTGAACAAACTTGGTAGACACTCACTAGAAGATGTTTTATGCCAAAATATCTTAGCTCTAGCTCTTACAGTTCTTTAAAAGAAGATTTTATAAGTTTTTACTATATGTATATAGGAAAAATCAATGACCCCCCTGGGGCGGGGCCATTTTTGACCCCAGGGCTTTTATTTGAACAAACTTGGTAGACATTCACTAGAAGATGTTTCATGCCAAATATCTAAGCTCTAGCTCTTACAGTTCTTTAAAAAGAAGATTTTTTAAGTTTTACTATATGCATATAGGGAAAATCAATGACCCCCTGGGGCGGGGCCAATTTTGACCCCAGGGCTTTTATTTGAACAAACTTGGTAGACATTCACTAGAAGATGTTTCATGCCAAATATCTAAGCTCTAGCTCTTACAGTTCTTTAAAAAGAAGATTTTTTTAAATTTTTACTATATGCATATAGGGAAAATCAATGAACCCCTGGGGCGGGCCAATTTTGACCCCAGGGCTTTTATTTGAACAAACTTGGTAGACACTCACTAGAAGATGTTCCATGCCAAATATCTTAGCTCTAGCTCTTACAGTTCTTTAAAAGAAGATTTTTTTAAGTTTTTACTATATGCATATAGGGAAAATCTATGACCCCCCCGGGCGGGCCAATTTTGACCCCAGGGTTTTATTTGAACAAACTTGGTAGACACTCATAGAAGATGTTTCATGCCAAATATCTAAGCTCTAGCTCTTAGGTTGTTTAAAAGAAGATATTAAAGATTTTTCTTTCGGTTGCCATGGCAACCAGAGTTCTGCATGGAATTAAATTCTTTTGAACAATTTTAAAGGTGACCACCAAAGGAACATTCCTGTGAAAGTTTGGATGAAATTGGCTCAGTGGTTTATGAGGAGATGTCATTTAAAGCAAAAGTTTACGGACGGACGACGGACGACGGACGGATGGACGGACGGACGGACGCCGGACGAAAAGCGATCACAAAAGCTCACCCTGTCACTTTGTGACAGGTGAGCTAATAAGGCAAGACCAAGTTACGGTTCTTGTGCATTGCACACCTACTCAATGAGATTTATCTACCAAAAAAGTTTCTTGTTGATATCTCTTGTTGTTTCAAAGTTATGTCCCGGACAAGAAAAGCAGACGGACGGACAGACGGACGTTCTTACCAGAGCTACATTATGGGGTTTTCTTTTGTTATTTCTTTTGTTCTTTTTAACCCCACAATGCAGAAAATAACCCCACAAGAGAAACGGAATGAATGACATCAAAGACATCTATTGTTATGAGAACAATAGACCAAACCCCATAATGTAGCTCTGGTTTGTACGTACAGACAGACGGACTGACAGACAAGGCGGCGACTCCATGCTCCCACGAAATTTTTGGGGAGCAAAAATTGAAAAGGCAAAATTGCATGAAGAAAATACCAAATATAGAGGCTATTGTCAAGGAGATCCTCTATCGCCTTAACTATTCATTCTATATGCTGAAATTCATCAACGATAAGAAACAATACACAAATTAGGAGTATAACAATCTATGGAAAAGAATATAAGATTCCCTAATATGCGGATGACACTAGTTTTTTTTTTGGATGGAAAAGAATATATATATCTTAAGAACACAATGTTAACATTACAATGTAAAGCTGAAAACGCAGGCCTAAATACTAATCAAATCAAAAGTGAATTGGTTTGGATCTGAAATAAAAGTAATATTATTCTTAGTCCAGATTATAATATGTCGTAGAACGACAAAGATGTTTAGATTAACTACAAATTTATCTGAAATTATAGATTTTAACTTTGACTTAAAAATGACGAAATCAAGAGATTATTTGCGAACTGGTCGAAGAGAGTACTTTCTCCAAAAGGAAAGCTGGTTGTTATAAAATCTCTTGCTCTTGCAAAATTAAATCATTTACTTTGGTGTTAACCAAATCTACACTTGGTCAAAATTACCAAAATACAGAACCCTTTTTTCCCTTTTTGTGGAATAGTTCTGAATAAAAGTCAAAAGGAATATTATTATCCAAGACTTCAAGTTTGGAGGATAGAATATTAAAACAATGATAGATTTAAAATAGTTCATGAATAGTTTAAAGGTGACTTAAATATGAGGAGTTCTGTTTTTTGGTGATCTTTCAAAAATCCAAATGGAGACTTTTACACCTAAGTAGCACCACCAACGTTCCGAAAGCTAGCTGGATAGCTTCCTTACATGAAATAATCCAATATCAAAAGTCGGGATTCGAACCCACAGCGGTGAGGAGCAAGTAGTTTGAAGTAAAAAAAAAAGATGTAGATCAACTTATAAAGCAATGCAAGACTCAGGGTATTTTCCTAACTCTTTACAAAAATGGCAAGATGAATTAAGAGATATCACTGAAGCAGTCCCGTTTAGGTACAATATTCGTAAGTGTTAAAGAACATAAATGTTCTATGTATAACAACTCTTTAGATAATGGATCATAAGAATACAGAATCAGCATGATTTTTACCGTTTTTAAATTCCGTTAAAAATGATTTATCATTAGACACATAAGCTCTATATACCCTTTACTCTTTTTCATTGCAGCAGATAAGAGCTAATAAGAAAAATCTTAATGAATTCAAGGTTAAATAACACTTGCTATATTTGAGGAAATTATTAAAGAAATACATAAAAGAAATTACCATCAACATACTTTGTATATTATCACTACTACATGTAAATGTTTGAAATATGTTTTGAAATTATTTTTTTTCACCTTAGTGAAGTAATACATGTAGGTTAAGTCCTTCTAGTTTTAATAGGAGTTAACCACATATTGGCTCAGGTGATGATTTATTTCCATATCAAAATCAAATCTTAGTACACGCATGTTATAAACTGAATTAATAAGTTTTTTTTTAATGTTCATTGCTCTAAATGCTAATATCTCTTAATCAAATGCATAAACATAAAAATAATGTTGTAAATCTTTTTTACAATAAATATAGCACCTGTCTATCAATATCTTTCATCATAATTGGATTAAACAATTAGACAATATACAATTGACATATAGACAGGTAATGCATCATCAAAGAATGACTCAACATAATTTAAAGCAGTACATCAATAACTCTCCTATAAATGTACACATTTCGTCCAAGTGCACGTATTATAAACTGCTTGTTCTTCATGAAGTAAAGCCGTAGTGTCTCTTATATAATCAGGTTGTCTCACAGAACAAACACTCGTTTTCCCAATGTTCCTGTGTTATTTATAACTTCATCATGGGCTACTGGTGCCTCGTCCAGCTTGTATTCTTTACAGATGTGAGGAACCAGCCATCCCGCCTTCAACCCTTCTGATATCCCTGAATGCATTTCTACCCAATCTTCCTGAAAACACAGCATAGTCACCAATTACTTTCCTAATATAACAATTACATGTATTATAAAACCTGAATTCTACAAAATCCATGACTGTATCTTTATTGCTGTGTTTATTATGATACAATAATTTTGATAGATTTTTCCAAAATCTAACCAAATTGGATGAAGAACCAAGAAACTTTTATCTAAATTATCCAAGTAAAAGGAATCCGGGTCAGCTCGGCCCTAAAACGTACTCGGCCCCCGAGTCAGCTCGGCCCTATTCCAACTCGGCACGGGTCAACTCGGCCCACTTTTCAATTATTAATATTTAGGTTTGTGTTATCATTATTTATTTTAATTATTGTAATTATTTGTAATACACCTATTGATAGTTTACGAATTAGCAGCAGACAGGCTTTTCATATCAGTAAAATTGCGAGTAAAGATAACCGATTGCGTATATGTCACTGTATTTCTGACTTTAATACCTTTAGTGTCAAACAATGTGTTGAAATATATATTGTTATGGGCTTTTATTATCAATCAGTGAGTATGTTAAGGATACCGATTAATTAGGTGATAATTATGATTGACTCATTCATTCATTTGATTAGTGACCACCTGCAATTAATTAGAAGCTTATGATATGAAGTAAACACGTTTTTGTTTAATATTTTTTTGAATATTACTTAACAAACAAAATGCCTCTAAGGAAACACATTTTTATTAGATCGATCTACTATATTAATTTTATCTGCAAACAAATAAATTAAAAATATCTAAATATACTTATTTCGGCAGAAGTATAATTATATAACAATAAGATATTTCTCATTATTAATTTACCTTAACAACATGCAAAGCAAAGTTAATACGTTATTTATATTTTTGTAAAGTGGGCCGAGTTGACCCGTGCCGAGTTGACCCGTGCCGAGTTGGTATAGGGCCGAGTTGACTCTTTTCCAGTAAAAGTGCGCGACTGATTTGAACTGGCCAGGCTGAGAAGATGGATAGCTTCTTCACTATGATACTTTCAAAGCTCCTTAAATAATTTTAACTTTTGGATATTACAAGGACATGATAATATAATTAGGACATAACCATTTTAAGCCACAGATTTGTTAAATTGATCCCAACAGTTATTTAGGCCACCTCATTTGTAGATTGCTCCAAGCTCCAACACAACCAGTTAAATTACTTGCTTTAACAAATAATGTTTAGTATATTTAGATTAAGTGTGTGATGTGCAAGATAAATTATCAGACTTACTGGAGATGCATTCATCAGTATCATACCCGTCACATGTGATTCTTTCTGCATTGCAAGTCTTGGATTTATTTCAATAGACCCTCTGTTACCAACAACCTAAAATTTTCAAAAAAAAATATGAAGTTACCAAAAGGAAGCAATCTTTACATTACAAACAGCGCTCACAACCCCCGAAAATTACTAAAATAATGTCAAAATATTCGAAAATAACATTTACTGCGTTAGTAAAAATTGGTCATTAATCGCACATAACATGTAAATTATTACTAGAATTTTCAATCTTTATACCTTTCCTAAAATCTTAGTACATTTCTCTCAGGTTTGATTTTATTGAAATATCCATGCTTATCTGGAGGTGTGCAGCTTGAAAGATGAAAATTTAATTTCACTCAACACTTTACCTACCACAATAATTCCTTTCCGGTTTATTATTTTCATATCAGTTTCTAGATTTACATTTGCTAGCATCTCTATTATAAGGTCTGGACCGACACCACCAGTTGCTTCCTAGAAGTAAAGCACTATCTTTATCAATTAAAGCTTTTCTGGTAACAAATTTGCATAGGCTAACAAAAATTTAAAAGTTTACCTTGTATCTATAGTCCAAAGATAAATTACATTAACTTATAAAGCATTTCTTTGAACTTTCGTTTAAAAATGGAGTCACCTTGCATAAAGTATCTTTTCAAATGGAAAAAAGATAAATGATTCAAAAGTTAAGCATGTACATTTGTATTTAAATAAAGTTAACTCTTTGCTTAAAAGTAACTTAATAGTATCTCTGTATTTTGCTCACATATGTATTATACAGTATAATAATTTCCAAACAATAAGGTAATCACTTGCCAACTTCAAGCAACATTAAGCCACATCAAGCCTCATAAGTAAATTTGATAGTTTTGTAGAAAGAGCAAAATTTGTTATACAATGTTTTAATCGATTTAGACCATGTAAAATTCTTATCAAATGAGAAAAGTATGTGAAATCATTTGTTATAAAAGTTTGTAAACATTGTAGTATAGTCCAATATATAAAACATGAAGCTTTTTTCAGTTGTACACCGTTCTATACAGGTATGTTAAAAAAACATTGTTCCTATTGGTCATGTAGGTAGTATACCACTATTTTATCTGCATATCCCTCTTCCCTATGGTTGAACACTGCTGTTGCACCTTGTTTGAGCACCAGATCAATACCTTCCAGTGTACCTGCTGTACCATACACTTTCATACCCTTTGATACAGCTATCTGAACACAGGCTAGACCTACCTGGAAAATATAACAACTTGATATAATTGTTGGATAGGTCATATTGATTGAGTCTGTACATGAGGGATAATGAATAAGTGCAACATCCCTCACGCCCCCTAGCACCGGCTTGAGCGGTACTCAATTCTCAACACTTAATAGTGCTGGCATCAATGATCTCGAAGGACCAGAAACATATAACAAGACTGAAGTGAAGTACGGGACAACTTTTTACAGCTGCCACACAGCACTTGACACCTGCTGTTGTGAAGTATAAAAATGGCCTGTACATAAGAACACAAAATTAATGCTTTACAAGTCATAGGGCGACTTTCAAACATTTATACTGATATAGAAAGGCTTAACGTCTGATATTTCATATTGTCCAATCATGTGCACCAATAATTATACCATGTTCTAAGACAAATTTTGCTAATCAACACATTAAAATCTCTTTATAAAATTTGTATAACTTTAAGTAAGAATATTTAATATATAAATTACATACAGCTCCACTAGCACCATGAATTAGAATACTGTTTCCAGGTTTGACCTTCTCACGTCCTCTGTAATGAAAAAATTAAGAATATTGTGACATGTCATAATACAGCAGAACGTCCATCATAATCATTCAAATTACAACATCAAAATTTTTTTTTTTTTTTTATAAAATACTATCAAAGTTGACAAAAAATGATGAGACTAAAATTCTACCAAAATCAGAGTGATATTGTGTGTAAATGTGAGTGCACGGGTAAAAATTTAAAATAAAATCATATTTTGCCATACAAGTAATTGTGTTTCATTTTATATTTAAATACGCAAAAATGATAAATAATTCACATTTGTTTTGGGTTTTTTTCCTTCGGTTTTAAAGTATTGGTCTTGTTGAGACTGTTCAGCTTTTCTGGAAGACCTAAGGTGCCCTTAATTTGATGCATTTTTTCAGGTACAAATTTATAACGGGCACCTGAGTGGAACCATCCATGTCTCATAAGCTAGCTGGATAGCAGGAATCCACATGTTTAGCCTCATACATCTCTATAAATATTGTTAGAAATGGATCTGTATCGTTCAATTTTGAAGATTGGGGTAGTCTTTTCATAATTTATGTAGCCCTAAACATTTTTCATTAAATCATTGGTTGATCATTGTTTTACTAGTCAATCACTTGAAATAAATGTATATTACTATTGACAACTCAACTTTATAGCGAAAAAAATGCATCATGCCACTTCAACATATCCAGCACCATTCTCCCTTAAGAAACATATTTCTTTCATTATACAGGTGTTTTGGTATTATTGTTCCTTCAAACACTAATGTGTAAAATATATAGCTTTAAATATACACTTTAAGGAAACTTAAGGTAAAATATGAGTATGTTATATATGAAATATACATATGTGTGTAAGCAATATGTCTGATTACAAAAATTCATTAATGTTTTTTTGAGACATTCCTATAGACAGACCAACAAAAAAAGCAAATCAAATATCTGCAATGTATTTGCTTTTAAAGTGACATTATAATGCCCATCCAAGTGTACTGTACGTCCCTGAGAGTACACTGGTAGAAATCAATATAATTTAGGATTTTGGCATATTTGTTTTGCCATATTCTACTTTAAATGAATATTCAATAACTCACAATCATGGCACATGGAAATTTCTTATTACCAATTATTGGTTATTCATCATTAATGGTCAATCTTTTAAAATGTTATTAATCTAATTCAACTTGACTAGACAATGAATAAATTAGTATAATGTCACTTTAATTGATTGGAAAAGCACTTTTAATAATGGTTACTCCAACAGCAAGTAAAACACATTTACGCATTGCAAATTTATATAGCACTTACAATCCAAGTAAATTACCAAACTCAGAGGCCAAAATATGCAAAAATGGAACTAACTGCAGTAGAAATATGGTGATAAACACAGTAAATGCTTCAAAATCAGTCATTAATCGCACAAAGTCATAACATGTAAATCATTATTTGAATATTAAATATTTTTACTTTTTTAAATCTTAGTACATTTTTCTTACGTTTGATTTTCTTGAAATAGTTTGGGGCATCTGAATGCATAAGTTCATGTGTTAAATTTGGATTAAAATCACATTCCTGCTTCTTTCAAGTTTTAATACAAAAATCTCCAAGCACTATGAACTTTTAATGTTCCTGAATTATTATAATGTAATAATTTCATTTGAATTGATAAATTTACTTTTTTTTCAAGGGTCACATGGCATAGCCAGGGCTCACTTTATTTTTAATTTGGCTTCCCTAACACCTTCTCTACTGATTTAAATAGAAGAGAGTTGATTTATTACATACATTATACAAGCTACTGTTCAACTTCTGTAGAGCAAGTTGGCATGATCTCTGTTGTAAAGTATGTAAGTGCCTCTATACAGAAGAACTATGTATTATACTTATACTATAACCTGAAACTAAACTAATTTTACAATGTACATGTACAAACACAGCTAGCCACATGAAGCATCTTTATATGTTTTGCAAGATATGCTAAACATTTAATGAAAGCAAGTTAAATCTAGAAAAATAAGTAAATAAAGTATTATAAAATAAAGTTCTTTCCTTCTATCATTTCTGAATTATAAACATTATTTGGTTCCTGTTCTAAAGACCTGCTCATAAAATTGCAAGCTTGGCTTTTTTCTAGTGCCTGTCAACTTTACTAAGTGCCTGTCAGTAAAATAAACAAAACAGTCTAATTTTTTTTCTATTATTATCATAACTAGGAATTGCAAAAGTAGTTGGCCCAAGGATTCTGTTTAAATGGTAGCCTCTGGTAATTTCAACAAGCATTCTAAGATAATACAGATAGCCTTCTTATATTATGTAAGCTGTCATCATTATGTCATGGATGACACTCCATTTTTACATGCAATCCAGCCATTATCTACCAAGGGCTATTTTCCACAGGTTGGGGAAGCAGCCCTGCCCTTAATTTTAGTGATTTTTATCGTACATGATATATTTGCAAAAGTGGAAGAAAAAGCGTGATGTAAATTCAATTTTGGGGGGAAAACTGCATGATTTTTAAGAATTTTTCTTTGGGGAAGCAGTCCTATAACGGCCCCTGCTATGGAAGGGAAAAAAAGCCTTGACTACCAAATATTTTATATGACCTTTCATATTTTGCATTCACAATACATTTTGCCAAGAGGCATAATTATTACACTTGTGACCTCCCATAGAAATATTAATAGTCTTAATAATTAAATGTATGTTGAACGTTTGCAGAGCTTACTCCATTGGCCTTGTTGAAAATAAGATTTTGCATTGTATGTGTTTTCTCTAATGCTTTGATGTATTGTCTTAATAAGTTACCTTCCTTAAATTAAGAGTTTATTATTTTTATTATCATTCTTAACAGCTTGGTATCTAGCAACTATCACAAAACAAACATTTCACAGGTGTACATGTATACAGGATGAGGAAATACATTCAAATGCTCTTACATTAAACAGACAGCTCTAAAGGCTGTATAGCATGCTATGCCAACTCCTGCCCCTTGTTGAAATGAGAGAGAACTTGTTAAATGCCCCACCATGTTTTCCTCAACTGTAGTGAACTCAGCATAGCCCCCTGATACATTCTTAATCACATACACACGGTCCCCAGGCTGTAGTAGACACATAGAAAAGTTAAGGGCCGACACAAAATAAGATTACACAAGACCTATGGTAAATATGATAGTAATATGTTATTTTATGGTATGGTAACTTTACCTGACAACATACAGGTCTACTAGTGCTGGTACGACTGATTACAATAAGGTCAGGTCTTGTGCTGGCATGACTGACAACAATTAGGTCTAACACTCGGTATGACTGACAATATTCAGGTCTAGTGTTGATCTGTGTGACTGACAATATTAACATCTAGTGGTGGGTATCACTGATAATGTTATGGTCAAGTGTATGAATTACAAGTTTGAGGTTTAATGCTGCATATGACTGACAATATTCAGGTTTAACAATTTTGTGCTGCCATGACTGACAATTATAAATTAAGTCTAATGCTGGGTATGACTAACAATATTTAGGTTTTGTGCTGCCATGACTGACAACCTTTAGGTCTAAACCTGGGTATGACTGACAATATATGGGTCTTATGATGGTATGACTGAATACATTAAGACTATTGCTGGTATGCCAGACAAACACATTGTCTATTATGCTGCGTAAAATTGAAAACATTGTTGTCTTGTGCTGGGCATGACTGACAAGGTTTGAGAACATGACCCATAGCCATGGAATTGGGAATTTCAGTGGTGTTTTGTTAAAAATTGGGGAAAAAATGCATGACTGAAATTTTACAGTGATTAAATGGATGCAAACATTTATTACTGTCTAGGATGGCATCTTCAAACATATAAGCACTATTACAGTAAAGGAGCCCTTATTTTCAAAGATTTTAGAATTTTTGTTCAATATTTTTATTTTGTAACTTTTAATTGGGAATTTTTTATGTATAGAGAAACTAGAGGATGCTTTTGTAAAAAAGCGCATGTCTCCCCCACTGCACTGTGACCTTGACCTTTGACCTACTGACCCCAAAAACAATAGGGATCATCTGCTCTATAAGACCAATCATCCTATGAAGTTTGAGGGCTGTAGGTCAAAAGGAACTCTAGTTATCATCCGGAAACGAGAAATTGACCAACGGTCAGTGTGACCTTGACCTTTGACCTACTGACCCCAAAAACAATAGGGATCATCTGCTCAATAAGACCAATCATCCTATGAAGTTTGAGGGCTGTAGGTCAAAAGGAACTCTAGTTATCATCCGGAAACGAGAAATTGACCAACGGTCACTGTGACCTTGACCTTTGAACTACTGACCCCAAAAACAATAGGGATCATCTGCTCAATAAGACCAATCATCCTATGAAGTTTGAGGTCTGTAGGTCTAAAGGAACTCTAGTTATCATCCGGAAACGAGAAATTGACCAACGGTCAGTGTGACCTTGACCTTTGACCTACTGACCCCAAAAACAATAGGGATCATCAGCTCTATAAGACCAATCATCCTATGAAGTTTGAGGGCTGTAGGTCAAAAGGAACTCTAGTTATCATCCGGAAACAAGAAATTGACCAACGGTCACTGTGACCTTGACCTTTGACCTACTGACCCCAAAAACAATAGGGATCATCAGCTCTATAAGACCAATCATCCTATGACGTTTGAGGGTTGTAGGTCAAAAGGAACTCTAGTTATCATCCGGAAATGAGAAATTGACCAACGGTCACTGTGACCTTGACCTTTGACCTACTGACCCCAAAAACAATAGGGATCATCTGCTCTATAAGACCAATCATCCTATGAAGTTTGAGGGCTGTAGGTCAAAAGGAACTCTAGTTATCATCCGGAAACGAGAAATTGACCAACGGTCACTGTGACCTTGACCTTTGAACTACTGACCCCAAAAACTATAGGGATCATCTGCTCAATAAGACCAATCATCCTATGAAGTTTGAGGGCTGTAGGTCTAAAGGAACTCTAGTTATCATCCGGAAACGAGAAATTGACCAACGGTCAGTGTGACCTTGACCTTTGACCTACTGACCCCAAAAACAATAGGGATCATCAGCTCTATAAGACCAATCATCCTATGAAGTTTGAGGGCTGTAGGTCAAAAGGAACTCTAGTTATCATCCGGAAACGAGAAATTGACCAACGGTGACCAACGGTCACTGTGACCTTGACCTTTGACCTACTGACCCCAAAAACATTAGGGATCATCAGCTCTATAAGACCAATCATCCTATGAAGTTTGAGGGCTGTAGGTCAAAAGGAACTCTAGTTATCGTCCGGAAACGAAGAATGGACGGACTGACGGACGGACGGACGGACGGACGGACGGACGGACGGACGGACTGACGGACGGACAGGGCAAAAACAATATGTCTCCCCCCGAGGTGGGGGAGACATAATTAGCAGTTATATAGAGTCTACAGATATGGTGGTGCAACTTATCCAAACACCCCCTATTACTCAATAATGATATTGTCTAGGTACTTTTATCATTTACAAGTCATGTAAATTAAGATGCCATGAAAGTGTTATATGTATGGTAGTCGACATACAAAAAAAACTTCCCCTACTTCTACTGGCTCACACGATCAACACATGAATATTGTACAAGCAAGAAATAGTTTGCCAAGATTGTTAGTATAAATGTGTTTCAAGCTTCAAACTCAAAGCTTGGCATGCCGATAAAATGTTGCTTACGAGAAGCAGACAGCTTTATACGCTGTGAAGTATGGAATGCCTATGCCAGCACCTTGTTGAAACGTAGTTTTCTCATCCAGATGTCCGACATCTGTTTCATCAGCCGTACTAAATTCAGCATAGCCACCGCTGACATAAACTTTTCTGGACACATAAACCCGTTCTCCTGGCTGTGTGGACAAGATGGCATTTGGGTTACTCAACTTGGATTTAATTTTTCAGCAATTATAAATCTTTGTGTTTTGTGTCTTACATATCCTATCACACTAATGCCAGGTCACAATTTAAAGAGTAATGTAACTATATGGAACCACCATGCAGAATTGCATATTTACTGATGGAGGAAGATCTCTTGTGAAAATTATGCCTGACAGAATAAAGCATACCCGTAGAATCCTAAATTGTCTATTTTCTACTATAAATACATGTAGCATCATTCTGTATACATGTATGACAGATCGCTACATTTATTTTAGGACACTATCCCACAATGATTATTAAATACACATGAATAAAATAATATCAATTTCATGTCTGGTGCTTACTAACTCCATAAAGGAAGAAATTCTTCAACTTATTATGTCCTCACTACTGGATAATAATCCAATAAATTTTTGTTTGCCTAGAGATGTAATTGATTGGCTACAAACAATTGAATATAGCTCAAAACTGACAAAATATTATAGGAATTAATGATAAGAACTGTTCCAAAAACAGGGCAATCAAGAAACAATTTAAACATCTGATTTAGACATCTGAAAAAAAAAAAAATTTAACATTTCACTTAAGTATTACCTTAAACTTTGTCACATTTGCTCCAACATCTTTCACAATTCCTGCGAGGTCTGAACCTGGGGTAAACGGTAATGGTGGCTTGATGGCGTAGGTGCCAGACCTTATGTATGTGTCCACTGGGTTAATTCCAGCAGCCTTTACTTCCACAAGAACCTGAAAGCATAATAATTAATGAAATCAACCACGGTTGTCATTAAGATTTTGCTGATACAGTTTATTTCAATTTAAGGCAACTATTTTTTGTTTTAGGACATACATTATAATTATAACAATCAGTGTTGTATTTTTTTAAGATTTGAAACAGCCCAAAATGCATTTGAGAAATTCATGTTGGCCTACATTTTGCCCCTTATGACAACCCTGACTACAAATGAGTCTCTTTGAATGCATGCAGAATACATGAACTTTTCCTTTTAGCATATACATGTAGTTAAAGGAGTGATCAACACATCATCATGCATATCATAACATAAAAGGGTTGTTATGTTACTAAGTCACTTAATAATTATTATGTTATATGGTCTTTTGTTATTGTCTTTTAGTACATGTTGCTAATTAGCTTATGTTTCATGATACATAAAAAAAATCGTTTTCAAATAAAGTTTCTTGTATCTTGTATCTTTTTGTCCTATTTTGCTTAATTTATATGTCACTCTGTTTATTATCATTTATGTGAATTAATTATCATTTCTGTATCTCCATAATGTACACTTCCAAACATATAGAAAGTTAACAAATCCAGAGCGCATAGGACAATAAAAATTTAAAATCTTAATCATAGCTGATAACTATCAGCGTATCATGATGCACTAACCTGTGATTGGCTTGGAGTAGGTATTGCTACATTTGTTTCTACTTTCAGAACTTCAGGCCCACCAAACTGGGCCACTCTAACAGCTCGCATCATTTGTCTGCCTGCCATACTGTACATACAAACACATGTAACAATTACTGGTTACTGACTGTACAAAAATGTTTACTAATAATGTAAGCCACCTTTACGAATGAAGCTAAGTTAGGAGAGCTGTGGTACAGGATGCAGAGGGTCAGACTGCATATTTTTCCCAATCTGTTACATTTAGCACCAAACCAATGTTCACTTAAGAACTGTTCACTAAAAAGTAGAGAAAATGTTTAAGCAGCAAGATGGCTCAGTTGGTATTTCTAGAGTGCCGCGTTCAAGTCGCAGTCAAACTGTCACATACGAGGGTTGTTCGGAAAGTTTTGAGACTGGGTCAATATTTAGCGTTGGAAAAGATAAAATCAAACAAGAGTTTACTATGTATTACTTTAATACCTCATCTATTATAGTGTAAAATTTCATAACAATAGCTTCATGTATACAAAAGCTACAAAGCGTTAGGCACAGACACTACCGGTGACCCGGCGCACGCAACGACGTTATCCAACGTTGCCGTTATTTCCAGAGTTTAACGTCACCATAGAAAAGTCAACTGCTACTCCTTTTCAAAGTATCTTCCTTCACAACGTACACATTTCTCATGCCTCGTAACCCACTTGGCGAATACATTTCTATACCAGTCAGATTTAAAGTTGCAATAATGCTCATAACTCTAGAGCGCAGTTCAACTAGGTCCTCAAACCGGATTCCTCGTAGTTCGGATTTGATGGCCGGAAAAACGGAAAAGTCCATTGGGGCCAGGTCGGGTGAGTAGGGTGGGTGAGCGATGCGGTTAAACCCGAGAACATCAAGTTCCAGAGAAGTGGCAGATGCTGTATGCGCAGGCGCATTGTCTTGATGTAGGTAGATGTTCTCCAGATTCGCAAGCATTTCCGGCCGCTTCTTACGGATAGCGTTGATCAGTTCCCGTCTGATTACCTTAAACAGAAATATCGGAGCTCGTACTTAATACAGATACAGGTGAATTAATTTCAAATAATTATTTTAATAATTAAGTAAGTAATCAATTTAATTATCTATATTATTTATATATTTATTTTTAATTATTTTCATGTTAAATAAAGTTAACATAATTACTCACCCTGCAGTAATAGTCAGCGTTCACCGTCTCTCCCTTCGGTAAAGCATGTGTTAACAGCATCCCCTTCCGGTCCATGAATAGAATAAACATATGTTTCCCAACGGATTTGGTTACACGTGCTTTCTTCGGGGGTGGAGACGACGTGTGCTTCCAAACTGAAGACTGCGACTTTGTTTCTGGGTCGTAGTAGTAAAACCAGGACTCGTCCGTGGTAATAATTCTGTCTTAGAACGCGTCGCCTTCTCTCTGGTATGAACGTAGAAACTGTCGAGATGCTTTTACTTGGTTTTCTTCCTGATCAGCCGTCAATAATCTCGGTACCCAATGGGCCGAAACCCGAGACATTGCAAGTGTCTCAGTTAACATTTTGTGAGCAGTTGCCGTACCTACATCACAAACTTCTGCAACTTCTCTGCAAGTTGTAAAAACTGATAAAAAATTTATTTACAGAGACGTTGTGAAGTGAATTAAGATGGAGGCCGGCAGGCGCGCGCGGAAAGCATCCAACGTTTCCGTGGCAGTGACTGTTGATGCCAGGCCATTCCAGTCAACAATTGTCCTCGGGAAGAAAGTATTTTTATACATCCTACCATAAACCCATACTGTACATCTACATTTACATATGGATTAACAGGTATTCGCTAACTAAAGTGACTAGCAGGCAACTTGTAAACGTTTGTCAATGTTTGAGTTTGATAGACAAAAAACACCGAGTCCAATCGTTCACTATGTTTCCCAGGCGGAGAACGCATGAAGAGATCAATTTTACAGGTGGAAAACCGATACTGTGGTAAGAAAACTGTCTTCAATTTCTTTGAAAATGCATATTTCACAAAACTTTATAGCCTATTCTGATCTCATATGATTACTTTATCCGACGGGCATCTCAAACTCGCCAAATCTTTGTTAACTTATTAGATCATTATCGACAACTGCACAAGAAAAGTCACAAAATTGGTAAAATCGCTCTTTGATAGCCAATAACTTGACATCCATGCAAACTTCTAAACATTTGTATCGCTCTAAAGATTCTTTATTAACATATCCTCATCCACCAAAAGCCTGTTCTATTTCTATTTCGTATTTTTGGAGTATAATATCGTTTAAGCGAATTTTCAAAATGAACGCATGAGCCGAACTTTTTATGTGGTTTCATAGGTTTGCAAAGTGAACGCATGAGCAGGTGGTATTTTTAAAACTCCAGTTTTTCCTAATTATCTAACAAATTTAACATATTCCAACTTTAAAAATTTCAAATTTTATTTCAAATAAGTGAGAGACACTTTTTTTACAAATTAAAATATACTTTGTACGCTGTATGTATATATATGCTAATAAGGAAAAGTACGAGGTCTGTTGGGAAAGATCGTGTGAAATTGAAGTAATTCCTCGTTTATAACACATATTATCAGCTTTAATGAACAACTTCTTATTGAATAACTTAAACAAATGAATATTGTTTAATACATGAAACGGAGAGATAACTACATGTAAGTCTTGTCATGTTGAATAAAATCAACAACTGACGACATTAAGCTGATTTATATAATAATCTTACATGACACTTTGGAAAAATCCTCGATTTTTGCACGCATGGTAAATGATTGTTTTACAAAATATGTACTTTGATAATTTAATTAATTGAATACAATTACTATCATACATGCATTATATTTAACAACAAAGGATAAATGACAAATAATAGCGTATGTATACTCTTTTAAAGTCCCTGTACCTCAAAACTTTAATAGTCTAATATGATAAACCTGATACTCAAATAAATTATCACCAATATTACAAATCTTACATAGATATTATCGAATTTAACAAGTTCTGTAAATAAAGGGAGGTAATTAGAAACACATTTTGATAAATACTTTGCCTATTCTTCATTAAAATAAAAAGTGTATTATTTCTAAAAGAAAAACTTATAATAACCCTAAAAAGAATGTGTTTTTTCAACATTTTCTTGTATGTTCATTTTGTTGTAAGGAAGTTGATATATATATATATATTATTGCTTAAAGATCCTGTATGTTTTTACCCCATGAGCATATTGCGAAAAATGGCCGTTTTCATTGAAAAGCCTCCTGTAACAAGTTCAAACTGCTATGAAACTATGAAAAATGCTTCCTTCAATACTGATGAAACTCGGCTACTCCATAGCCTCTGTAACAACATGCTCAATCGTAAATTTCCTGTTACCATGGCAACGGGGGGACGTCTCAAAATTGCCAAAAATCACTATTTTCCTTTTTTTTTCATCAAAACTGATTTTAAAGTGCTGCAACTTCTCAATGAATTGAGATAGAGTAAAAGGCTTTTCAGCGTCTGTTACTAGTTACCCTAAGATCGACCTGAGGCCATTTTTAGCCTGTCACATGTCCAAAACAAAATTTTCTTGACGATGAGGGGACTCCGCCCACTCTCTTCAAACCCCCTCAGGCAACCCCCTGATGTAACATTTGGATGGGGGACGGCGCCGAAAAAATGGTCACTTTTTTAACAACATTTCTCAAACGAAAACCAGTCTTTGGGGCCTAAATAGGACATTTTTTGCACTGTTTGAGGCCTCAAAAAGGTTTTCTGTAACTTTAAACATTGTTAATTCTTTATTTAAGAACATAAAAATTTTGAGTCACAGGATCTTTAAGTGTATGTTACATCTTTAATTATAACATACCATCAACCAATGATGTTTTATTTTGCAAATATTTTACTCAAAGTTTTATCTATGAGGATTTATTATATTTTCACAGAACCGAACAGACCTTCATCTATTGATTATAAGCAATCCGTCTTAAGGTATGAAAATAGGAATTCTGTTAGCTCAAACATTTGGAACGAAAATTTTGGAATTTAAAGGTTCAGTGATCGATAACATGTGAGATATCCATGAAACCTGGAGTAACCAAAAAATCCACCTGCTCATGCGTTCATTTTGCAATCTGATGAAACCACATGAAAAGTTCGGCTCATGCGTTCATTTTGAACATTCGCTTAAACGATATTATACTCCAAAAATACGGAATAGAAATAGAACAGGCTTTTGGTGGATGAGGATATGTTAATAAAGAACCTTTAGAGCGATACAAATGTTTAGAAGTTTGCTTGGATGTCAAGTTATTGGCTATCAAAGAGCGATTTTACCAATTTTGTGACTTTTCTTGTGCAGTTGTCGATAATGATCTAATAAGTTAACAAAGATTTGGCGAGTTTGAGATGCCTGTCGGATAAAGTAATCATACGAGATCAGAATAAGCTATAAAGTTTTGTGAAATATGCATTTTCAAAGAAATTGAAGACAATTTTCTTACCACAGTATCGGTTTTCCACCTGTAAAATTGATCTCTTCATGCGTTCTCCGCCTGGGAAACATAGTGAACGATTGGACTCGGTGAAAAATGACGTATCCGAAATTAAACAACTTCATATGAAATTAATCATTTGGCATGTACAATATACATGACAGCTCTATGTTAACATTGCTGCCATGGTATAAATTATTGATCCGACTATAAATCACATTGATAACATTCAAACCTGATTATAACGTAAGAAATTATCGAATTATTTCATTCGTTCCAGATTTTGTCCTCGCAGATATAACACCACTAAATGATTTTTTTATAGTCGAACGCCACTAAATACCTCGGATATACTATTCTCCGGTCCGGTCCAGTCGCTTCCGGTCTCCGGTCCCTTCCGGTCTAATTCGACCGGAAAATACTAGTTACTGCCTGTTTTCGAATAATTATTTGTAAAAATGGGTATATTTAAATGTTTGAAGGCGAAATAGATCTTAATATCAGATAAGTATTTTTCTTAGATAATGTATTTTGTTTTGGTATTTTCGTTTGTTTTATAGTCATTTAAAATCTTTATTAAATTAAGGAAGATTGTATAGCTTACTAAGACATTTTACATCATTTTAAAGCATTAAAGATAGCATATTCTGTAATGCAAGCTGTATTTTTTAACAAAATCGTCAAATAATTATAAAAGTGAGAAATAATAATACATGCATGCACGTACAGTATATCAAATTTTGAATAGTGATAATAAAAATCAAAACTACATTGTAAGTAAAGATTTTGGTTAGTAACATTTAAAGTGTTTGACATTATATACATTTATATCAAATATCAAATTCATTGTTATCATTTCTTCTTGTTAAAATTGTTTAACATGCAACTCAAATAATTCGATCAAGTCCTGCATGTATACATGTCTACAGAATTTCTTATTCCTGAAGAAATATTGTTCAAATCTGGAGAAAGGGTGATCCTTAAGATCATTAGGAATAAGATTATTAGAATGAAAATAAAATGAGACCAACAAGGCAATGTGACATTCACAGAACGCAGCCCCGACATAATAATATATACCAGCTGGGCACCAAGAAGGCACCGAACTGAACAAGGGATATAACACTATCCGGGATATGTAAAAAGTAAAATGATCAGAATTAAAAACGTATTCATGCAAATTTCAATTGATTTGTTTTGAGTCGTTTTTACATGATGTTTTCTATATGTGTTGATATAATTATGTAAGTCTTATTCTGAGATAAGGTTAAACGGAATTATATCAGAAATATATATGCTGGTGATAATTTATTCAGTGCTTTTTATATCACATAAGTACATTGTAAGTGTATCAACTATAAAGTATTTATAAGCTGCAGCTCACACTTGATATTGTAAGAAAGACAATGTAAATGGAGACACCAGCAGAGAGGGGAAAACTACCAGTCATACTCAGAAAAAGAGAGAAGAAAGTAGAAAAAGAATGGTCATTAAATATGACTGAATGGCTGATAAACTGGTTTGCAACTATGCTTTCAAATATTTTTGAAATTGTTGGAATAAAAGATACCACCAGGGAATAATTATTCTTGTCTGATCTCCTCCTTCATATAGAAATATATAAAGAACGTCCAAAACAACAAAATGGAAATTGTTTCAGGTTTGGTTTGATTGAGCCTGTTCGTGATCATGAACGGTGCTTAAAAGTGCTATTTACGTCCACGGCCACTATAGCATCGGCTTATGCAGAATTCAACATTTAAACATAATAATTGTGAAATTTTTAACTTAGAAACATCTGAAGATGCGTTCACACGGCGGAACCTTCAACGTGACACGTTAGTGCCATTCCATGAAAAGCAGCCTTAGGTCCCAAGTAAAAATGCTTGTGCCCTAAACGAGAAAACAATGGGCGGAACTAAGCAAATAAAATGGAAATTTGAAAGAGGATCTGAGGTTATGAAGCCTGCATAGACAAGACGTCATAATACAACTTTAAGCAGGCAACATATCATATTGGTGAATCGTGATTATGCAGTATTTAAGGAGTACTGGAACCACCATAGTTGAAAAAAGGTCAAATAGGAAAAACTAAAAATACGACATCACATGTATACACAACCATACTGTCGTGCTGAATGATCTCCAAGGATCGAATATATAACATCTTTGATTATATGCACGGTGGGACGTTTTACGGCCTCTACAAGGCACAAATAACACTGATGGGCGACAAAACAACGCCAAAAACAACAAAATTGAAAATGTTCAGGCTCGCTTTGATTGAGCCTGTTCATGGTCGGTACTGGAACGTGCAAGTTACCGTCCACGCCTCCAAGCGCTTGCTATATTTAGTTTGTTATGGAAAAATTCCTAACATAAAATCAATGTTAATTAAAATTAAACTCAGGCTTAATTAAAAAAAATAAATTTGTTAGTTAGTTTTGAATTTGTAGCAAAGCGTTTATTTAACGCATTTGCAACACGTACATGACTTTCAAATAAAGCATCATTTACATAATAAAGACGTTGCTCCTTATACTCATTTTATAAGTCATTTTAGTTTAACAATAAGTATTTGACGTCTTTAACTTCAACCCCATACTTACATTTTTTTTATTATAGCTTGACATTTTATTCTCCAGAACTTATAACGAACGTGACTGAGGGTAGATACGTATAAATGGTCTATTGTTGTAATCAAAAAGAGAAAATAAGAATCCCTAATGAAAGCCCAATACGTCAAAATTGAAAATGTTGTAAGCTCGGTTTGATTGAGCCTGTTCATGGACGGTACTGGCAAGTGCAAACTACCGTCCACGCCCTCTAGCACCGGCTTAAGCAGAAATAAACATTTAAACATGAAATGGTATTTTTTTTGATTTAGAAACATCAAGTTCTCCGTTACTCTAGCAGGAGATTTGATCAACTGAGACCAAAATCTTTAACAATATGCGTCTGTAATTATAATTATTAGAATAAGCAGAGTTAACGCCCCATTTTGTATAGAAACAGTTTGATATTTATGTTTCATTGGTTAGTTTCTTTAAAGTGAAATATGTTTTGATTCCCAAAATTTGACTTAAAAACTAAAATATTTTCATCTGAACAATGACAGTATCACTCAGTTTACAATTAAATAGCAGGAAACGGTTTTCAGTATATATAAGCTAAAATATTGTCTGCCTATTTGAGATTTAGCAAAAATGCATGAAAAGTGTGATTCGTCTTTGAGGTTTCCCGTAATTTGTTCAAGGATATTTTTCTTATAATAATAATAATAATAATAATAATAATAATAATAATAATAATAATAATGTATGTACATTATATTTATGCTTAAGATAATGATGTTAGATTAATTGTGTAAATTCTATACAATAAAATATTATTAAACTGAAACTTTAAAAGGGCACGTGTCATTTGTGCCAATATCTCCGCTTACATTTAACAGAGCCAGGTCTTATATATATAAACTTCGCAGTAAGTAACAGAAATATGGATGGAAGGTTGGACTTTTTCTCCTACTAGAATTGTTTATTTCTATTATTGTTTTATGCTTTTCAATGGATTACTGATTTATCCGTGAAAATTATAATGTAATTTCACAGTGAAAATTATCAAAATATAATTTCACAATTTTCAATGACGAAGCTACCTTTTTTAAAAATTTTCCCCATGTGGTACCTCAATTTTATTTTTGCTGACATTTTTGACAATGTCAGGCTGTTTAAAGAAAAGCAAAGCCACAATTATTCAAATGAGTTTGCGAGATGATCTGTGTTAGCTACTGTAACTACATATGTACTTCAATCAAACGGATTGATCAACAGGCATTTTTGGGAAAATAATCATATTTATTTGTTAGGAAATCAAATTAGATATATCTACATGCACTTTTAACCGGGAGACGTGGAATACCTTTGCTGGCGGTCAAAATATACCGGGGTGAGACCGAGAAATACCGAGAGGTAGTACACCCCGGTCTTGGGAGACCGAAGACAGAAGAAGACCGGATACCGTCAATTAGCAAGCTTGAAATTGATTTTTTTTTATTGAAAAACCGAAACAAACATGAATATTATACGAGGAATAAATACTGTACAAGGACCAAAATTATTCAGAATTTTTCAGAATGGATCAACAGCAGTGAGTTTATATCTTTTTAAGAAGATCTAGATCTGTTTACTTCACACTCCATTTGTATAATTTGGAAGCAAATCGTTTCGAGCAAATGACAATTCGTACCCAAGAACATTTGCTTCACGTTTTAAAATTATTATCACAGATCCCGAGGTGGGGGTGGATTCAGGCCCAGCTTGTGATATCTTGGTCCTTTGTACTGTACCTCTGCTCTGGTATGTTATATACAGAAGTTTCAGTTCCTTGCAAAAGTGAAAGCAATGTCTGCCCAGAAAGTAGTCCAATAAATTAGACGTTACAGGCTTGTTATAGTTTTATGTCGGCCAAGCCTGACATCTAATAGTTATTGCTCAAAAACGCATAGCATCATGAAAAAATCAAAAATTGTCTAATGTCTTGCCTTTCAAGCTTTATTCAAAAGCTTTTCTTCTTTTCTTTCAATTTCATGCTCAATCATAAACCAAAACTCTCAAAAAATGTACTTATCAATTTAAGATAAAATATCAACATCAATCTCTTTTAGTCTATCGGCCATACTGGTTAAGTAAGGCGTTTTACAGATTGGTTCCAAATTTTTGAACGGAAAAATATATTCGATCATGCTGACGGAGTGACGGTGCATGGGCAATTATTTTGTTAAAAAAATAATCCATTAAAATGTTCTGAATCGTTAAACGCTTGCATTTGAATAAGCCAATCAGATTTCGCGCATTGTATGACGGCCATTTGTTTATCGGCTGTATACATGAGAGGATTTAATCATGATTTTTCGAATGTGACAGTTTAATTATTTTGTCAAAAGGTATTCATTTTTTAGTTTTGTTCATAAATTGGTCAAAATTAATGTAAATACACGCTGTCTTATTGTTTTTTCGTTCCGCCCGATTTTCTGGCGGAACGTGCTATGGATTTTTGAGCAATTTCGATATGACGTTGCTTTGCCCAGAAGCAAAAATATCTCAAAGCGATGTCATATTTAAAGGACTACCCAGAAAGGTGGCTGAACTTTGCTCTGGAAAATTCATTGCGGCTTACTGCCGTAATCCGTAGACAAAACTACCACCACAACCATTAATAATCTGTGGTTATAGGCCAAGCCTCAATATTCTGTTGATTGACACTGGAAAATCACAGAAATAGTCAAAGTATATTGTTGATGTCGTGTTAGAATCAAAATAATATATCCAACATCACTGTTTGTAGTTCGGATGCGCATCATTATATCACTCGGGCTACGCCCTCGTGATAATTAATTCCTCGCATGCAAACTCCAAACAGTGATGTTATTGAGCGATAAAATCACTGTTTGGGATATATTATTTCTTAAATTGAGTATAAAGCAAGTTTACATTTTGTATATAAGGATCCAGGTTGGGATTGATTTATTCCGTGGGATCAAGGTAACTGTAACCAGAGATCTGCCGAAGACGCGATTTTGCGCCATTGGCGCTAAAAAAATGAGAATGGCGCAGGAAAATCGGCAGCATAGGGCCATGGGCGCATCTAAAATCTGTGCCAGACTTATAAGAAAACAAAACTGTCTGCCGGGTTATTTAGTCATCCAGTCAAAACTGGTACCAACAGCAACATGTTACCCATTTCCCTTGTAATTATGCATATTCTTGAGTTTATCCATTTTGTTCATGTTATCTACTTACCGCATTTCTTCTCATAATCCTTTCCCACACACAGATACTCATTTCTACTACCGTAAATTTAATCCAATAAAACAAACAAACAAATTATACAACTACTTAATATTTAAAATGATTATCGCGTAACTGAAAAAAAGTGTTGCTATTTTAAGAAATGCTGTAAGTTACAGTATAATCTGACAGGATGTTCAACTTGATCAACCTAAGGTCACTCAAGTTCACGCAAGTTTTGGCTGATGAAGTGTAAAAAAAGATGTATATTTCGTCATCAGAATGTTTGACAGGGTGATTAACCAATCAGAGAAACATTGTGCATGACTTTTTTCATGATCAAAAGGTCTGTCGGCAAATGTCTTTGATGTATGCTGTCTACACAGAGGCATACAAGGGGCAATAAAATTCGTCAATATACATTGGTAAGGGACATTTTGTGCAAAGTAGGAACAATTAAATGGATAATGCACAATATAAGACATTACAAGTAAGAACCAGCAATTATGTGAATAAATTTGCATATCAAATTTTTGAGCAGCCATTAAAAAAATATTTTCATTTTTTGCCTGCAATTAATATTAGTTAGAAAGTTACCATGTAGGCATAATTTTAATTATTGGTAAAGTACTGAATTATAAGTGAACCACTTGTCATAAAATATGATTTAAGTTTTATTACAGGGGAAATTCAATTACATGTTATCTACAAACTTTTTAACAGTTATTTTGGTCAATGTTTACTTATTTTCCCAAGACCCATACTTTGGTAAAAATGGCCCATCATTTTCAGACCAAGTGGGCCCAGGGCCCAGTACTTTCAAATTCTTGGCAGATCTCTGTGTAACTTATTCTTAAAATGGAAAAATTGTTTTCGGACAATAAAAAGAGTTAGAAATGAGATACTGCAATCAAACTTGGTATAGAGCAAGCTTATGTGGAGACGTTGCCTTGAGTTACATGTGAGATATTGTAATAAAACTTGGCATTTAGCAAGTATATGAAGGAATCTATTCTGAGATTTTTGTTGGACCCCCTAGATTCAAGGTCACTGTTACTAAAAAAAAGAGAAATGGTTTCTCGAAGATAGGCAAATAATTGAAATAATTATTGGTACATATTAGATGAAACGTCATAAATGTTATGTGAAGTTCAAATTTTGCTTCAGACAACTTATTTTTCAAAAAGTCGAGGTTGCTGGTGGGGGTATAAATCATCTTTAGTGATAGCTCTAGTTTGGATTCATTTACTGTAGGCAATATTTAGCTTCATTGAAGGACGATCAACTTTAATGACATGAGAGTTTGAACTATGTGCCATTTTTAAACAACACATTTAAGTGTTTTCATTACACATGATCTGATTGGATAAGCGATAACGCTTAACCAATGAAAAAAACGTGGGGAAAACATTTGTTTGATACTAGAAAGGAGATATTTTCACGCAAATAAACTAACACTCAATATTAAAGGCCATCATAACTCGGGGCCAAGTTAGGTTTGGGGCCAAGCAGACTAAGCATGATTTGTTAAATTGTTTTCCTTTACAGGGCAGGAATTATGAACCTTCTTTGGTGGAATCAGGTGCTGACAAAGTTATTGGAACAGTAAGTCAACAGTGTACACATAGAAATTTAATATTACTGTAAGATATAGAAAAATGAAAAGATACATTGTATATGTGGAACACTGGATCAGATAAACTAATTTTATCAAAGATTCTAGGCGTAACTGTACTTCTGTTATATCTTCATCATGAATTTACAATCATAGTCAGATAGCAATGAGGAAGGTCCGTGGCCAAGTGGTTAAGGTTGTTGACTTCAAACCACTTGCCCCTCACTGCTGTGGGTTCGAATCCCGACAGGGACTTTGGATTCTTTCATGTGAGGAAGCTATCCAGCTAGCTTATGGAACATCGGTGGTTCTACTCAGGTGCCCTTTCATGCCTGAAATAATGCACGGAATGGCATCTGAGGTCTCCTCCACTAGTAAAGCTGGAATGTTGCCACATGACCTATAATATGTCAGTGTGACATAAAACCCAATTAAACAAACAAACAGATGTCAATAATGTGTTCTGGAAATGTTGTTTTAGTATATATTAATTATATTTCCATGACTGTTCATGACAATAGTAAACTTATGTACTACAGTTTAATATTGATAGCATATGCAGTCTGCATCTTGGGTCGCATGAAAATTGAGAAAAATGCACAATTTGAAAAGAGAAAAGACAAGGCAAAATGCGCTAATCTTCAGTTGCAAGTCTTATTAATATATTATCCAAGGTTCAACACTGATAGTGCCTATAATTTATATAAATTGTTTATTAACACTATATGGAAGAATTGTTTATCTGATTGTATTTAATATTGTGACCATGATAAAATCATTTTAACTACAATGTTAATGTCCACTGTGATAAAATACATGTACTTTCTTTCCTCAATGGGCCAGAGTAAAATTGAGATGGGGTCCTTTCCAATGTGTAGGTAGCAGCCCAACTGAAAGCTAAATTATTTTTATGTAGGCCTTATCATTGTCATACATAGAACATGTAGGTAGAATGAATTACTTGGAACAGATACAATATGCCTTTCAATATTTCAGATACGATTTTGTTGGTCACTGTCATACTGGACTTCACCTTTATTGTTAGGAATTCTTTACAGAAGAGGTACCAGCCATATTTATTTTTGTTTGTCATTAGTCAATGTCAGATTGTACATGTATGCAATCAAGTGGTCAAACATGAATTGTTTTAGTATACATGTAGTACTGATTATAGCATGCCAGGGGGGATAACAGGATAATTTTTTTTGGACATATAAATTTTGTCCATGGATTATATTTCTTAGATTTAGATAATATGTAATGCAATATTTTTTTTAACAATAGAAATTGAGAATAAAGTTTAAAAAAGACAAAGTACATGTGTAGGGTATAAGTTTTTTGTATAAATGATTATTATGTTTTATGATCAGGACATTTTACAGCAGAAGGTATTGTAAACCTGGGAAAGTTTGTCATGTATGTTGGAACTTTGTACTACACAGCAGTGTTAGTTAGAGGTAAATAAATACAAAATGTCAATGTGTTTTTTATGCCCCCGCCATGTAATGGCCGGGGCATATAGTGTTACCCTGTTCCGTCCTTCCGTCGTTCTGTCATTCCGTCATCATCAGTTTCCGTTCATTATCTTAGTAACGGTTGCACAAATTCAACTAAAATTTGACATATGGGTATGTCATGAGAAAATACAGATCAAGTTCGAATTTGGTCATGGTTCGATGATTTTTGGCAGAGTTATGCCCCTTTTACTTTGAAAATAATATGAAATTTTCAGTTTCCGTTCATTATCTCCCCAACGGTACAACACATTCAACTCAAACTTGACATATGGATATGTCATGATAAAATACAGGTCAAGTTTAAATTTGGTCATGGTTCGATGATTTTTGGAAGAGTTATGCCCCTTTTACTTTGAAAATAATATGAAATTTTCAGTTTCCGTTCATTATCTCCCCAACGGTACTACACATTCAATTCAAATTTGACATATGGATATGTCATGATAAAATACAGGTCAAGTTCCAATTTGGTCATGGTTCCATGATTTTTGGCAGAGTTATGCCCCTTTCACTTTGAAAATAATATGAAATTTTCAGTTTCCGTTCATTATCTCCCCAACGATACAACATATTCAACTCAAACTTCACATATGAATATGTCAAAGGAATGCGCAGGTCAAGTTCAAATTTGGTCATGGTTCAATGATTTTTGGCAGAGTTATGCCCCTTTCACTTTGAAAATAATATGAAATTTTCAGTTTCTGTTTATTATCTCCCCACCGGTACAACACATTCAACTCAAATTTGACATATGGATATGTTTTTGGAATGCCCAGGCCAAGTTCTAATTTGGTCATGGTTCAATGATTTTTGGCAGAGTAAAGCCCCTTTCACTTTGAAAATAATATGAAATTTACAGTTTCTGTTCATTATCTACCCAACAGTGTTACATATTCAACTCAAATTTGACATATGGATATGTCAAAGGAATGGGCAGGTCAAGTTTGAATTTGGTCATGGTTCGATGATTTGTTTGGCAGAGTTATGTCCCTTTCACTTTGAAAATAATATAGATACATCTTAGGAATAAGCAGTTTAAGTTTTAATTTGGTCGTAGTTCAATAATTTTGGACAAACTTATCTTTCTTGAATGTTGGAAAAATTTTGAACTTTCAGTTTCAGCACTCATACTTTTGTGGAAATGTATGTAGCCATTATTTTGGCTACAAATATGAAATATGCTATTTTCAAAAGGTAAAGACTGAATAATTTCAGTGCCTTGAACATTGTATGGAAATGGTTTGTGTTAACACTGAAAAGTTTTAAGGGCTTTGAACTTAAAATGAAAAAAATAATTTGTGCAAACAAATTTGGAACTAAATATTATAACATCTGAAATTTTGGCTGCATGCGGGGGCATCGGTGGCATGATGAAACATTTCTAGTTTCTTTCTTCTGTACAATGTATATTAATTGATTCTTGTGGCAAGGTTATGAAATGACTTTTTTATATAAGAAAATTCAATAAATAGAGGTCTGTTTGTACATGCATATCTTCTTTTATAGTTTCCTATTCCATAATCATTGTTTTGTAATACAACTGTACATGTACTTTTAGAAGTTCACCTTTTGGTTTTGTTAATAAAGGTGCACAAATTAATTGTTGTGCTATTTAAAAGTGGACATTTTGTTTTCTTATGCTATTTAAAGTACACTTGATATTTTGTTATACTATGTAAGCTACATCTATTGTTCTATGATCCACCTATTGTTTTAATATTTGTACACTTGTTATTATTATAGATAATAAATGTGTTTTATTTTGGTGTGTGTTTCAGGTTTTGGAAGATTTATGAACCCTGACTATATGACATTTATAACAGTCCTGACAGATGCTCAGAAGGTTTTTAATGAACAAAACAGGGTAACATAAGATTATATAGTACATGTATTACACTGACACCCTTTTATAAGGCTCAAATTGGGGTTCAATGTGTCAAACCGCAAAATAAATATTGGATTTGATACTATATAACGTTCATCATGAGATTGGACAAAAGTAATTGTACAGTATTACATATTACCCCATCAGCTACATCTTTAACTATTTAAGCAGTTTAGAGCTTACTGTGTTATAACATCATATAACTTCACAATGTACATGTTTATGGATTTAAAAGATAAACCCTAATATAATTTCCTTAACATGAGGAAGTTTTATCTTTAAAATTTCATCATTATGATTAGTTCATGTTTTACTTTTGTCATTTGCGGAGAAATTATTATTACTGGTTAGTTTTCCAGTAAAGCTGGTATCATACATGCATATTGATCTGGCAAGATACAACTAAAAAGTGTGTTAAATTTGGTGTAAAAATAGAAAAAGAAACATTTTATTAATAATGATTTAAATACATGTAAACAAAATTGTGTGTATTATTATTTCTTTACATTAGTGTTGCTTAGTGACATTAATGCTATAATTGTTTTCCTGTATGTATGTTAGTGATATAATAATGTAAAATGTTAATATATTTCAGAGATTATTATCTGGCTTTGATTATCAGTACTGGGCAAGCCCTGTTGCTTGGCGATGGACAAATGTGAATATAGGGTAAACACTTTTTTGTATGAATCTTTTATTTATACAAGTATATACTGTATTCTTAGAAATTATTTTGCACTTTTTATGTTAGGGTTTTTCAAAGTGGATACATTTCCACAAATGTTTGTATCTGCGAAAAAATTGCATGTTACGAATTCGCGAACTTTGTAGCTTCAACCGCTGAGATTATCATTATGTCATTGTGAAGTACTGAAGAACAACTATTAATAAAAAGGGTATTAATTGACTAAAAATTTTTGAAGTGATTTCTTTTTGTAACACTCGAAGTTATACAAATCATCTTTATTGTCTTATGACTTCTATTGTTATGGTGTGACATATAACTAAGCAAACAAATAAATCTTGAAAGTGAATAAAAACCTTAAAGATATCCAGGGGAAGCAACTCTAATGCTCATGCCAAGGAAGTTGAACAAAGTGCAATCCTGTTTTTATATGAGTTGTTTCCCTTCCATTTAATAGATGGTCCATAATACATGAATTTTCTTTATTTCGTATTTTTCAATTTTCATGATACTGTAGTTTTGATTGCCCGTAGTAAGTTCATAGTAAGAACATAGACAATTTGTATCTTCTGTTTAGATATCAAGCATTCATGCTAATTTTCATCAACATTTTGAAAATGTGTTCAAAAGTAACATATTGTGAAGTGAACCAAAAAAGTAATTTACTTAAAAAGATTAAAGATATTCATTGTAAATTTGAAATAGTTGTTTGCATTCTAAAGGGCAGGGACTAATCTGAAAATCTATCAAAGATATTCTCAATTCAAACTTGAAATACTTGTTTTCTATCGAGGGCAGATAATTCTTCCAAGCAGATTTGCAGTCAACTTCTTTTTCCTTACATTTGGTATTCAGAGTCCTTCACATTGAAAGTGACCAGCACCAAAATTCAAATTAAGCCTTGTCCTTCATACAAATTGACATCAAGCAATGTTAGAAATAAATCTAGATTTATTTTACTTTAGAGAGGTGAAGAAAATGAAGATTCAAGCAAAAAGTAACAGAGATCCACCTAGATCACTCCTATCTATACCATCAGATATACTTAGGTGAGTATCTAGCTAATTGCTCTTCTGATGTGGTACAAGGTTATTCCCCTTTTCCAAGCAAAACAAAAATATAAGTATGGATAATGATTATTTCTTCCCCTTGGTACATGCACATCATTTAGAAGGCACAGGACATTGGCAGAAAATTTGCAGCTTAGGGGTGGAATAACTACTATATTTGTGTACTTGTGTATACAACTACATTGAACCTCTACCTAATCTATTACTGGAGATGAACTGCCAATGTCCTGTCTAAAGCTACAGTGAATGGCTCTACAAAGTATGCAGGGAAGACGAGGAAGGGTTCTACACAAAGTGACAGCTTTAAAAAAGGCAGGCTTTTTGCTTAGCACCAACAGCCCTTTTCAGGGCTATTTTCTTTTTAAATTGTCAAAGGTTTCTATAAGATTAGGTACTCATTGACAGCTGCAAAGTGATCTCATAACTTTGTTAAACACTGTGGAAATTGCATGGAGGTAAATTATCACCAAATTTTGCTTCAAAATTAATTTAGGGCAGGACTGGTGACATGTCTTTGGTCTGTATTCAACAGTGAATATTTGATGCAGATTGTTTTTTTTTTTTGTTGTTTTTTTAGGCCCAAACTGGGTAACCCCGTTTATTCACCCCGTAATAGGTATGAGAGGGTCGGGGTCATCCCCCACATACCTTACATTAATTATACATGTATAACACATTGTAATATTTACAAACAAAAGATCATAATATACCTTAAATTTTATCATATTAACATTATAATTAAAGCATACAAATAGTATATTTTACACATGTATGTAAGTAAACAAAGGAGAACCTAACATAAATATAGAATGTCAGTGTAATTTATTCGATTAATAATCTTACAATTTGCCATCTTTTAATTTCAGTGTCAGTCAAATTGGTATTTTTGTAAATAGTCCAGGCTAATTTAAGGCTATTTTTAAAGCCAATACATGTGGGTAACAATTTTTTTCTCTTAGACAAATATATGTATTTTTTCAATTCTAAAAACAATATATCATATTCGAAGTCCTTATCTTCAGAACCTAAAATAAAAGATTTACAGTTGAAAATATTGTCAAAATTATGTATGTTACTTTGCAAATATTGAAATAGAGACTGAATTTTTTGACATTCCCAAAATAAATGTATAAGTGTTTCTTCTTGACAGTTACAGAAAGTACACATTTTATAATCAACAATTTTCATTTTAAACAGCATTGAGTTTGTTGCTAAAGTTCTGTGAATTATTCTAGTCTGAAACCACTGAATGTATGAATCTTTGGTACATTTAAATACATAACTATATAACAATGGCCAGTTTATATTATTATCTATAAAGTATGTGTTCCATTTTTCCTTACTTGTTGGTACATCTGTATTTTTAACAAAAGTTTCATACAGGTATTTCTTATTGCTATTTGTTATAATAATATGATGCAGATTGTTTGATTAAACACTGCCCAAAATTTTTTTAATCTTGTTATCCCCCGCCGATGGAATCGGGAGGGGGATATAGTTTTGGCGTTGTCCGTCCGTCCATCCGTCCGTCCGAATTTCGTTTCCGGAGTAGTTCTCTGCAACTACTGGCTGGAATTCAACGAAACTTTATGGGAATCATCAATATCAAGAGGAGATGCGCATATCGTCGGCTTGTTCCGGTCAGACACTTTAACTCAGAGTTATTGCCCTTGATTAGTTATGTAGTATGCATATAGAGTAAAAATCGTTTCCGCGCTACTTCTCTGCAACTACTGGCTGGAATTCAATGAAACTTTATGGGAATCATCAATACCAAGGGAAGATGCGCATATCATAGGCTAGTTCCGGTCAGACACTTTAACTCAGAGTTATAGCCCTTGAATTAGTTATGCAGTATGCATATGGAGTAAAAATCGTTTCCGCGCTACTTCTCTGCAGCTACTGGCTGGAATTCAACGAAACTTTATGGGAACCTTCAATACCAAGAGGAGATGGACATATCATAGGCTTGTTCCGGTCAGACACTTCAACTCAGAGTTATGGCCCTTGATTAGTTATGCAATATGCATATGGAGTAAAAATCATTTCTGGAGTAGTTCTCTGCAACTACTGGCTGGAATTCAACAAAACTTTATGGGAATCATCAATATCAAGAGGAGATGCGCATATCGTCGGCTTGTTCCGGTCAGACCCTTTAACTCTGAGTTATGGCCCTTGATTAGTAATGTAGTATGCATATAGAGTAAAAATCGTTTCCGCACTATTTCTCTGCAACTACTGGCTGGAATTCAACAAAACTTTATGGGAACCTTCAATACCAAGAGGAGATGCACATATCAATGGCTTGTTCCGGTCAGACACTTTAACTTAGAGTTATGGCCCTTGATTAGTTATGCAGTATCCATATAGAAAAATATTTGTTTCCTCGCTACTTCTCTGCTACCACCGGCTGGAATTCAATGAAACTTTATGGGATACTAAGAGGAGATGTGCATATAGTCGCCTTGTTCTAGTCAGATACTTATAACTCAGATTTATGGCCCTTGATTAGTTATGTAGTATGCATACATCTCATTGGCATTTCCAGATTTTACTATTTAACACAAAGTAATGGCTCTGTTATTTCCCTGAATATTTATCAAGTTCAAAGAATATTACTATTTATGCCATGATTAATATATAAATAAAGCCTTATGTCTTCAGTTGTTGTGTTAATAATAACCAGTACTCGGCGGGGGATATAAATTCAACGAATTTGCTTGTTTAGTATATTTCTAATATTACATTTTCAGTTATATTTGTGCAAACACATTTGGAAGGAGAATGGTTTACCCTGGGGCTACAGCATTAATAAATACTCTTGTTGGTAGGTGTACAGTTTAAAGTATATACAAAAGTTAAATATTAGAATCCAGAGGTCTCTGGTTTAAACCTTTGCCAAAATTACCTTCTAATTCATTCACCTTCATGTTAAGGGTAACACTTACTCTTGATAAAGATTTCAACAGACATCCACGGTTTTAGTTTAACATACTGTAACGTAAAGGGACTTGAATGTTTTCTCCTATGCCGATAATGTAACAGAATCATCAGAAACTTATTTAGAATTTATTTTTTAGAGGGACCATTATGTCAGGGAAGAGCAAAACTTATTGAAGAGGTATGTTTAAAAAGGTCTCTTACTTTAACTTGTTCTTTGTATAATAAAATACAGTAGCCATCCAGTTTGCTCAATAGGTAGAGCAATGGTATCAGGCGACCTGGGTTCAAGTCATGGACGGCACAGGTCATTGTCATGTGAATGATAATGAAATCCTTTCTACTGGCATTCACACTGAACCTCTGCTCTGGCATATACAAAAGTTATCAGTTCTTTGCTAAGATGAAGGCACTCTTATTAGTAAAACTGCTTGACAGTCTGTGCAGGAATGATGCAGGGGCTGCACTGTGCTCTGTTGAATTCAGAGTGGCATAGATAGCTCCCCTTCTCCACACAGCTGAAGGGCATATGCAGCCCTCTAAACTAAAGCCCTGTGTGTAACCTTCAACCTGTTGTAATGTCAATCGAATGCTCTACACATGAAAAGAAACAAAGTCCCTAATAAGATTAAACCCCCAGCATACAGGTTGGTGGTCTGGCTTGAAGAATGTGCCTGTTAAAAAGGAATTCTAGGAAAAATGAATGGTTTTAAATTTGTTACAATTTTACAGCACTTCTCTTTAGAAAGAGTAGGGTCTCAATTTATATGTTTTTTTTACAGAAACATGGTATTAGAGCTAAATTATTAACAGAGGATAACAATGAAATAGACACAATGTTTGTAGATAGAAGGGCTGATAAAACAAGACATGGCAATACACTGGTAAATAATTATTTTATAAAATAATTCTATCCTATGCTTGAAGAATGGAGAGCACACATAGTACGAGTCTTAAAATGTTTATTTGGAATTGTAATCCAGGGCTGGATGATTGGCAAAATTTTCTTCATGGCACTGGTCATGGACTGTGAGACTAATGGTGATTTGTTTCTGGACTTAGTAGTCAGTCACTTGCGAAGAAAAGTTTGTAATTACTGGTTAGTTATTCAGAAAAGCAGTTCAGGTAGACTAATCACCAAGATAATACCAAAAATGTGTTTAAATTATCATAAAAGCCAGACTAATAAGCAATCATTCAGCTTGTCAAAAAATGTTCCTCTTTTACTTTTCTAGTCAAAGGTTTTGAGGAATGGCTGTCAGTGAATGCTAACTAAGTATTAAACGTATAGATATAATGTCCTTCACCAGGCTTGGTCTAGTTTTGTAGATAATATTGACCATTTATTAAAATAATGCAATAAGACATCATTGTTCTTGTATAATCCACAGTATGTCGAGTCAGTAACTAGGTATCTGTTTTATTTAATGTTCAGGTATCAATTTAACAGAATGAGTTGGAATACTAAAAAGGGAAGAAAATGTCATATTGTTTTGGAAATAAGAAATTCAAAGGATTTGATCAAAATTCTAACTTACCCACACTGCATTGCAATGATTAAAGATTGAGTAATGATAGGTACTTTGAATACAGTTTTAAAACAATTCCCATTCCATTTCAGGTTGATCAGAAATTTTCTGCTGTAAAATTTCTGATACGGAGAGTAGTCTGTAGTGCGAGAGATTTTTAGTGGAAGATTTTTAATTGGAAAAAAAAAATTGATTTCTTTTTGGTTAAAAACAAAGTGTTTGATTTCAAACTGGAAAAAAAAATTGTTTGATGAAATTGATATTGATAATATATTGTTTTAATAACTATATTGTCTGGCAGGTTGTAACATGTGAAGGAAATGCAGGTTTCTATGAGATAGGTGCCATGGCAACACCACTTGACCTGGAATACTCTGTCATTGGTTGGAATCATCCTGGGTTTGCTGGGAGCTCTGTAAGTTCATGCTTAAACTATATATGAATTTTATTTCTTTTGTTAAAAATTGTTAATTTTGCATTCAATTATAAATTCTTACTCAGGTAACAGATTTCTATTTATACATAAGTATGACTTGGCTTTATTGAATTGATTAAAAAAGGATAACATTTTGATATCTACTTGCAAGTGCAGGGATCGTTTTTTTTATATCCCCAACAAACAGAGTTTGTGGGGCTATACTGAACTCAGCTGGTGGTCGGCTGTCGGTTGGTTGGTCTGTTACATCTCTGTAGATAGATAGATCTGAATAAGTAGCTTCTATAGAAATGAATTATCACGAGTGCTTATTGTAAACATGTATTAAAATATTTTTACTGATGAATACTGACCAACATGATTTGCATTTTTGTCTTTGATTGCTACGAATATTTGTAATGTTGTATACATGTATGAATGTAAACGTAATGGTGGCAGATCAAAATTACACAAATTCTGTTTCTCTTGAAGTGAAATGCCCAGTCCCTTGAAAATTGAATTACCAAGAGTCAACTGTAATTAAAAAAAAATTTAAAAAAAAAATCTCATGAGCAAAATTATTAACTTAAAAGCATGTTTTCTGACAAGCATGTGTCAGGGGTATTCGGCACTTGTGACAAGCTCTAGTTCTTATTACTGGGAAAAAAATGGAAAGCAATAATTTTTTTATTAACCAGGTTTTCAACGAAAACCGGGTTATTGTAATGCCGAAGTCGGCGGGCGGGCAGGCGGGCGGGCGGGCAGGCGTCAACTTTTGGTTTCCGCTCAATAACTTGAGTTTGCTTTGACCTATTGACACCAAACTTGGTGTGTAGGTAGCTTATATCAAGAGGCAGCTTGGGATTGCTATCCAGGTGTCTGTGATCAAGGTCAAGGTCACTGTTACTAAAAATAGAAATTCAGTTTCCGCTCAATAACTTGAGTTTGCTTTGGCCTATTGACACCAAACTTGGTGTATGGATAGCTTATATCAAGAGGCAGCTTGGGATTGCTACCCAGGTGTCTGTGATCAAGGTCAAGGTCACTGTTACTAAAAATAAAAATTCAGTTTCCGCTCAATAACTTGAGTTTTGCTTTGACCTATTGACACCAAACTTGGTGTGTAGGTAGCTTATATCAAGAGGCAGCTTGGGATCGCTATCCAGGTGTCTGTGATCAAGGTCAAGGTCACTGTTACTAAAAATAGAAATTCAGTTTCCGCTCAATAACTTGAGTTTGCTTTGGCCTATTGACACCAAACTTGGTGTATGGATAGCCTATATCAAGAGGCAGCTTGGGATTGCTACCCAGGTGTCTGTGATCAAGGTCAAGGTCACTGTTACTAAAAATAGAAATTCAGTTTCCGCTCAATAACTTGAGTTTGCTTTGACCTATTGACACCAAACTTGGTGTATGGATAGCCTATATCAAGACGCAGCTTGGGATTGCTACCCAGGTGTCTGTGATCAAGGTCAAGGTCACTGTTACTAAAAATAGAAATTCAGTTTCCGCTCCATAACTTGAGTTTGCTTTGGCCTATTGACACCAAACTTGGTGTATGGATAGCTTATATCAATAGGCAGCTTGGAATTGCTACCCAGGTGTCTGTGACCAAGGTCAAGGTCACTGTTACTAAAAATAGAAATTCAGTTTCCGCTCCATAACTTGAGTTTGCTTTGACCTATTGACACCAAACTTGGTGTATGGATACCTTATATCAAGAGGCAGCTTGGGATTGCTACCCAGGTGTCTGTGACCAAGGTCAAGGTCACTGTTACTAAAAATAGAAATTCAGTTTCTGCTCAATAACTTGAGTTTGCTTTGGCCTATTGACACCAAACATTATGAATGGGTAGCTTATATCAAGAGGCAGCTTGGGATTGCTACCCAGGTGTCTGTGATCAAGGTCAAGGTCACTGTTACTAAAAATAGAAATTCAATTTCCGCTCAATAACTTGAGTTTGCTTTGGCCTATTGACACCAAACTTTATGAATGGGTAGCTTATATCAAGAGGCAGCTTGGGATTGCTACCCAGGTGTCTGTGATCAAGGTTAATGTATTTAGTTTTCATGTTATAACTTGAGTTTGCTTTGACCTTTTGACACCAAAATTGCTGAGTGGCAGCTTTGGATTGCCACTTAGATATCTGGGAGCAAGTTCAAGGTCATTTGCTTACAATAGAATTTTCAGCTTCTACTCAATAACTTCAGTGCACTTTGACCTATTGATTTCTGTCACATCAAAACTTGGTCGTTGAAAACCTGGTTTTCGTCGCATTGCGGCGCTTCTTGTTAATGCATATTTTAGTACAGTTGGAATAAACAAAAAAGCCACACAAACATGTAGTATAATTATCTAATACAAATATTTCAGCTAGGTGTCTACATCAGTGCATAACACATGTAACATACATACAATTTTAGGTAGCGATATCGTTTTAAATCTACAAAAATGTTATGGAATTTAGCCGCAAAAATATGATAACATGTAGAAACAAATAATTTAGTTGAAAATGAAACTGATACATGAACAAAAATGGATCAAAATTGATTCAAATGTCCAGTAGATACTGGATTGTAAATATACATTATTTGTTTTAGGGTGTGCCATTCCCTGATCAGGAGCAATCTGCAATTGATGCTGTGATGCAATATTCAATACATGAACTGGGTTTTACTCCAGATAACATTATACTGTATGCATGGTCTATAGGTGGCTATACTGCAACTTGGGCGGCAATGAATTACCCAGATGTTAAGTTTACTGTAAGTATACTGTATTTATTTACAATCAAGCCTGTGTTAACTATCACACTTGAGATTTAGATTCCACCCACTTTAATCAGATAGTGTGGTTACAAATCACCCCTAGCTCCTTAATTCAAAGTGCAAAGTGGAGCTATTGTCATGACCTTGTTGGCGTTGGTGTTATATATATCCTTTTCGTCAAGGTCTCAGAAACTATCAAATTTGTATGTGTTTATTGTCTTGAAAGGATGCCATTTAAGGAGGGCGCTTGATCCTAAAATTATTTTATGCAAAGATCTACCCCTCTTTCAAGCTACATATTTAGCCCAGGTTAACATTTTGGGTAAAAAACTAAATATTGTACTGTATTGGGTATAAAATTTATTCACTTCAATCGTGATATACATGTTCACTATTTAAATATTACAACATTTTATAAAGACAGATAAATCTTAAAATTCATTTTTGCATAGTTCATATTCATTTTTGCAAAGTTCAACTCGGATGCCGAAAATAATGGACAGAGAGGTACCTAAGGTATTTCTCAACCAGTTAAGCTAAATTGTCTTCATATGACCTATACTGTGTTAGTGTGATGTAAAACCATACCTAGAAAATACTCAGATTAGGGATATAAGAGTTATCATGGTCCGTTTTCTTTAAATGGTAAAGTTTTTTTGTTTTTATCTCACCTGTCACAAAGTGACAGGGTGAGCTTTTGTGATCGCTTTTCGTCCGGTGTCCGTCCATCCATCGTCCGTCCGTAAACTTTTGCTTTAAATGACATCTCCTCATAAACCACTGAGCCAATTTCATCCAAACTTCACAGGAATGATCCTTTGGTGGTCACCTTTAAAAATTGTTCAAAGAATTTAATTCCATGCAGAACTCTGGTTGCCATGGCAACCGAAAGAAAAAACTTTAAATATCTTCTTTTAAACAACCCTAAGAGCTAGAGCTTAGATATTTGGCATGAAACATCTTCTAGTGAGTGTCTACCAAGTTTGTTCAAATAAAAGCCCTGGGGTTAAAATTGGCCCCGCCCCAGGGGGTCATTGATTTTCCCTATATACATATAGTAAAAACTTAAAAAATCTTCTTTTAAAGAACCCAAAGAGCTAGAGCTAAGATATTTGGCATGAAACATCTTCTAGTGAGTGTCTACCAAGTTTGTTCAAATAAAAGCCCTGGGGTCAAAATTGGCCCCGCCCCGGGGGGTCATTGATTTTCCCTATATGCATATAGTAAAAACTTAAAAAATCTTCTTTTAAAGAATCCAAAGAGCTAGAGCTAAGATATTAAGCATGAAACATCTTCTAGTGAGTGTCTACCAAGTTTGTTCAAATTAAAGCCCTGGGGTCAAAATTGGCCCCGCCCCGAGGGGGTCATTGATTTTCCCTATATGCATATAGTAAAAACTTAAAAAATCTTCTTTTAAAGAACCATAAGAGCTAGAGCTTAGATATTTGGCATGAAACATCTTCTAGTGAATGTCTACCAAGTTTGTTCAAATAAAAGCCCTGGGGTCAAAATTGACCCCGCCCCAGGGGGTCATAGATTTTCCCTATATGCATATAGTAAAAACTTAAAAAATCTTCTTTTAAAGAACCCAAAGAGCTAGAGCTAAGATATTTAGCATAAAACATCTTCTAATGAGTGTCTACCAAGTTTGTTCAAATAAAAGCCCTGGGGTCAAAATTGGCCCCGCCCCAGGGGGTCATTGATTTTCCCTATATGCATATAGTAAAAACTTAAAAAATCTTCTTTAAATGAACTCAATACATGCAATAAGCTAGAGCTAAGATATTTAGCATGAAACATGTTCTAATGGGTGTCTACCAAGTATGTTCAAATAAAAGCCCTGGGGTCAAAACTGGCCCCGCCCGGGGCGGGCATTGATTTTCCTTATATGTGTATAGCAAAAACTTAAAAATCTTCTTTGAAAAAACCCAAATAGCTAGAGTTTAGATATTAAGCATGAAACATCTTTAAGTAAATATCTACAAAGTTTGTTCAAATAAAGGCCCGGGGGTCAAAACTGGCCCTGCCCCAGGGGTGTCATTGTTTTTAACTATATGTGTATAGTAAAAACTTTAAAAATCTTCTTTTAAAAAACCCAATGAGCTAGAACTTAGATGTTTAGCATGAAACATCTTCTTATGGGTGTCTACCAAGTCTGTTCAAATAAACAAATAAAAGCCCTTGGGTAAAAATTGGCCCGGGGGTGGGGGGGCCTATATACAGGTGAGCGACCTCAGGGCCATCATGGCCCTCTTGTTATTTGTAGATTCTTGATGCTACATTTGATGATATTATGCCTTTGGCTTATGCAAAGATGCCAGAATTTGCAAGTAAGTGAACTTGTTACCCTTCGCCATCCTTAAAGGGATAGTTTTCTGACCTGAGTGTGATTTTTGTATGCTTATTAAGTTTTATTGCTTGACGTATTTAATTAATTTGACAATATCAAGCACAGCAAAAACAAGTCCAAAAAATTAATAATGTACTTTATTCAGTCCAACCTTTCATTAGCAGGCACTGTTTTACGTCATTGTACTGCTAATATTATTGGTAAACATGTTTTTACCCATTGTGTCCTTTAGTACTTTATTGTAATAGACAAAAACAGGTATGTCTTTAGAACAATGATCTTTAGAACAGTCATCTTTAGTACAATGAGCAATGTTCGATGTACTGGATAGCTTTCTGACTTTAAATGATAAAAAAAACAACCCAGACAGGAATGAAACTTACTGCAATTTCAAGTGATAGGACATCCAAAAACAACCCAGGTCCCAGGCACGATATAATCTTACAGCAATGTCAAGTGATAGGACATCAGAAAGCTTAAGTACTCAACCATGAAGGCCTTTATAATAATTGGTGTTTATGCATCTTAAAGTATGTGTAATTTATCATAACATAATAATATATTACATGAAGGCCTTTATAATAATGGGTGTAAATGCATCGTTAAGTATGTGTTATGTATCATAACATAATTTTTTATTACATTTTGTTTGTAATTTTACAGGGGGCCTTGTTGAGAAAACTGTGAACCGATATTTGAACCTCAATATTGCAGACCAACTTCTAGAGTAAGTTCTCTTTGATTATGTAAAGTACCCTGCTCACAACATATAGAGTAAGTTCCCATTGATTGTATGTGCACAAAGAAATTGTTTTGTTCACTTTCTTCAGACAAGTTAACCTTTAAATAAATAGTTTTAAGTCTGATTCTTGTATTTGTTGAAGCTATCCAATTTGCTGGGTAAAGGTCAGTGGTACTTATTTGTTACCAGCAGTGGTGACATCTAAATTCAAGGGAGATCACTATGGAAATATTGCTTCAAGAGTTATAAATCTTGTCACTTAACATCAGCTTGACTTCAAGATGAATAAATTGTTGATTTTGTAAGCTGATTAGCAAGGCAAGAAAGGCAATTTGATATTTGCGTGGTTCTATCTATAGGTATTTGGCATGGTAGCAAGCCCTCTATCTATTTTAAACCCAACCCTTACTCTTGGTTCTTTCTGCAATTTATTTCATAGTTAGTTTCTAAATGACTTAAAATGTTTTTCAATATAGATTTTGAAAATGAGTTTCATTAGACCCTTTTAAAGCTAAAGCTTAAATTGAAGCTGCTTCAAAAAACTTCAGCTTTTTGTGAATAAAATTTAAATAGGAAAAAAATAATCAAAACAATTTCCTCTTTTGAACCAGTTTATGGATATTCATGACTATCTTGGTCTGTAGCATTCTTACATGTTATATAATTTTGTGATGGTTTTCTAGCTTTGTTAGATTTATTGCAACAGAAAGGCTCTAGGTATGTGCTAGAGTGCAGAAAAAAGCTTAAATTTCTGCTTAAAGCTGTATGCTTTTAGATGTGTCAAAATATTTCAATAAAATCAAACTTGAGAAAAATGTACTAAGATTTTAGTAAAAGTAAAAAGATTCAAGATTCAAGTAATAATTTACATGTTTTGTGTGATTAATAACTGCTTTTTTAGTGTATATAACTATAATTTTACTTTGTTAAAGGCTTCTTGTGTGCATATTTTGACATCTCTTTTTGGTAATTGGCTTTGGTTGTATTTGCCATTGATAATGTGTAAATTGCCTCCTTTCGGTGACTTCAAAATATTATACTTTTAAATACAGTTTCAAAATTTTCATTAAAATTAGCATAAATGCTGCTTTAAGGTGGCTGGATTGTTTAATCTGTTGAAATAATTCAGCATCCTTGATATGTCTTGTACACATTGTAATATCAAGTAATAACATGTCAGTGACTTTTGTTTCATAAGAATTTTTTCCTTATTAAAGTTCACGGTTTCCTGTAGTAGTGGAAAATTTCCAGTTATGAAACTGTGATTGTTTGATAGGTCAACAGCCTGGTGGTTTTGTTATTACAAAATCATTGGGTTTGTTTTTATGAAATCTGTTTAACCTAAAACTAGACCGTTATGATGGAATTTTCCACTGATGTAAGTTTCTGTACCAAGATTTGGTCTTGATTAAAGACTTAACAGCTCTTTGAATTCAGTGCATTTTTTATTACTTTCATAATAATAATTTATTTTTGATATTTGTTTACTTGTTTACAGTATTTGAGCCGCGCCATAACAAAACCAACATAGTGTGTTTGCGACCAGCATGGATCCAGACCAGCCTGCGCATCCGCACAGTCTGATCAGGATCAATGCTGTTTGCTTACAAGCCCTTTTACAAGTAGAGAAACTGATAGCAAACAGCATGGATCCTGATCAGACTGCACGGATGTGCAGGCTGGTCTGGATCCATGCTGGTCGCAAACGCTTTGATCTTGTTATAGCTGTTAACCTGCGTTCATTTAAATATAAGCACATTCCTGCGTGATCCTTAGAGGCAACAAAATGAGTTTGAATTACTGGAGTCTAGTTATCTTTTAGCTCCAGAAGGTGAAGTGGTTTTGACCTCTAGTGTTTCTTTGAAATTTTAATATATACTTATAAATGAAATACTGAGAAATATTGATGAAATAAAATGCATATTTTCATTTTCCGTATTTTCACTGTAAAAATTTATTTTTCACTGCAGTGAAACATATTTTCAATATTTTCACTGGTGTCTTGCCGGACTACTTTCTTTTAAATTCTGCCAGTACACAAAATTTAGGGGAAAATCTTTCAAATTTTATCGCAAAAAAAAAGAGAAAAATGTATATAATAAACAGAAAATTCAAGTTTTTTCTACAAATACATGATTTATTTTCATCTTGTGGCATGAAAATTACCATATTTCACTCACTTATTTACCCCCACTCATGAAATATTTATTTTCATACCACTCGATTAAAATAAATCATGTATTTATAGAAAAATTTTGAATATCCTCTATGTATTACCTGATGTGGAGTCAAAATTTATTTTTCATGTTTCGGTGCAAATGACGGAAATTGTGTTGGTGCACCATGAAACCAAACAAAAACAAAAAAAACAACCCAAAACATAACGGTTTCAAGTTTCAAGCTCCCACGTATAATAATTTTTCCAGTGGCGCAAGTGTAAACAAACCTTAACCTTCACACACAAGTTTGAAAGTAAATAACATGATATGCAGTGCTACTTAAAATATCGCAATATTCATCAAAGGTCATTTGCTCCTGCCATGTGTACTAAAAAAATTTGCAGCGTTTGAAATATTGTGATGATGTGCTTTGACACAGACGAAAAAGGTGTGAAGCTCAGCCCTAAATACATTGTGTTTGTCATTTATTTTATCTTCTGAAATACTGGAACATTTATACAATTATTGACACAACTATTATTATAAAAACCATTTTGGATTTTTGTCACTCTAGATAGGAACTAAATATTCTACTATTTTAGAAAACTACTCATTTTCTGTCATAATTATGTAATTTTTGTATTTGGGGAAAGAAAGCTGTGTTTATTTTCTGCGAGGATAAATATGTTTTATGGATGATATATTAAAATAAAAACCAATCCTATATTTCAGGTATCCAGGTCCTGTATTGTTAATAAGGAGAAGCAGGGATGAGATGTTGACTACACTGTTAGTTGTTTTTCATTTTTATTTCATTTGTTTATCTCTCATGAAATTGAATTTAAGTTTTAAAAACATTATAAGAAAATGCAATCTAAGAACGCTTGCATTTCTTGTTTTGAGTGCTGAGATTGACCAAAAATGACTTAACATTGAGTTAAGAACCAGCAAAAACAAAACATTTAAAAAAAATATATAAAAATAAGGGTATATCGACTTTGAGCTTTAGTGAATGCAAAGTTTTAAACAGAAGCATAGAATGATTTTCAATAGTAAACATGGTTTGAAGTGATCAGTTGGAGACTATTTAGTTCAACAAAATAAAAAATATCGATATTTTCTGTTGTTTTGCAGAGACCCTACAGCAATCCATACAAATAGGGGAAACTTTCTTCTTTTAAAGTTGTTATCACACAGGTAAGTTTAGTGGTTTAACGTTACATGTGTTACTGTACAGCATTTAATTAGTACTTCATTATATATTGTACATTTATTTCTTTAATTATAATTATATAAAACTACTGTTACTCAAAGAGATTAGTTTAAACAATTTCATTTCATTATTAAAACATTCACAATTTTGATATATATTCTGTATATTTATATTGGTCTGCAAATAGTTGCATGGTTAGAGTTAGTTGCCAACAGCATCCAAAGGGTTTAATAATTTTTTGATCGTTCCAGATTGAAAGTAGATAGTTCCAGTGAACATATCCAGTGTTGTAAGGAATAAATTAATGATGCAACAACACTTTTTCTTTAAGATCTTCTTCATATCTGGTGCATATAAAAACCAAAAATCTTTTTATTGCAGACTTAAAAACTTAAACCTTTCTATTAAGGGCATAAGAATCATAGAATCTAAAGGCCATTTTGCTTAGGGTGTAAAAGACAAAAACCATTTAATTAGGCACATTAAAAAACAATAACCTTTTATTTGGCACATAACCCATCCCTTACAAAAAAACAACAACAACTTTATTAAGACATATGAAACAAAAACACATCATGTGAGTTAATTGAAATATGTTACAGGTATCCGAAGATTGTTGACAATACAACTATTCCAATACTTGAAGATTATTTGAGTAAAGAGAAAGCAGGTCAAGGTAAGTTTTATCATCCTTTACAATAACACCTCAACTAGGGTACGAGCATCATAGGTTACCCATGGTATATATTCCATGGGTAACCAACAATGGGGTTCCAGAAGCACACATTTATTGTCTGTGTAAAACATACCTGGTCACCATGTGACTCATGTCTGTGCCACCATGCTTAGTGCTGTTGTCTACATAATGATATACTTTTATTTAACATGACCAAATTCTTCACATTCAGATCCAATTTCCTAGTTAAATTAAGCTTTTGTGCCATCTGTTAAAACTCATTTCTGTAACCAAGATTTTCTTTTGGCTAGTCAATTTAAACAGACTTTAGTAGTTGCTCACTTTGTGCATTGAATGTTGAACAATCATAGCATTCTTTAATCTTTTTTGAACTTTTTGTCAATAAATGTTCTGAAATTAAAAATGGACTCTAAATATTGCTTGCCTATATTGCCTATATAATAAGGTCAAACAACATCAGCATCCTCAACTGACATTAATTGAGAGAATTAAATGTAATAAACAAAATACAGAGTAGAGGACTTTAACCACAAACTGTGTTTTAGTTTCTTTATTAAATTTAACGGAAAGATTTTTCTTCATTGTCCTTAATAACTATTTGTCTCTTTTCTTTTGAAGTGTACAGAGTTTAAGATTGGATGGGAAAATTCGCAATTAACTATATTATGTGCATATTTGGCTGATTTATATTTGTTTTTATATCTATATATATATCATAACCTTAGTGCAGTAAAAGGTTAACACCTTGTATGATTTTATAGGAGACTTAGGAGTTAAACTGTTACTGCACTAAGTTGAAAATACAAACATAGATATTTTATGATTTCTATTCAGAAGTACTGATGGCAGCTATGGAAGTAGACAGAGAGTGGTGTACTGTAGCAATGAGGTCATATATGGAGGAGGCCGAGAACACAAAGTTTCCATTAGATATAGGGACAGATTATACTGAACAACAGAAAACTCACATGACATTATTTTTGGTAAATTACTTTTAAACATGACATTGTCATTGTTCTATTGATGAATTTTATGGCTCATAGATTTAGTGAATTAATTGGCTCAAAGATTTGTGAATTCTAGGCTAGAAGATTGGTGAATTTGTTGGCTTAAAGATTGGTGAATTTGTTGGCTTGGAGATTGGCGAATTTATTGTCTGACAGATTGGTGAATTTATTGGCTGAAAGATTGATGAATGTATTGGTTCAAAGATTGGTGTATGTATAGGCTGATGAGTTTGTGAAATTATTGCCTGATAGATTGGTTTATTTGTTGGCTAGAACATTTGTGAATCTTTTGGCACAAATATTAATGAATTTGTTGGTGCAAATTTTGGTGAACTTATTGGCTCTCAGATAAGTGAATGATTGGTGAATTTATTGGCTCAGAGATTGGTGATTCTACCATAACACCAGTTGTTACTTTGGAATAATGTTTGAAAAAGGCATTAATTTAGTCTCTTTCTTAATGAGTACTTATGGAAATTCAAAATTGACAATTCTGTCTGAAAAACTTTGAAGTTGTACCAAGCATATTTATAAGTGGATTAATGTGCGCATGATAGATTTTCTTCTTGACTGGTTAAAGGAAGGTCAATAGTCTTTATTTGTGCTTTCTTTTATTTATTAACTTTAGGAGATTGGTCTGGTAATTAGCTTCTGGAGATGGAACTATTATTTTACTTTGAGTGATTAATCATTGAACTGTTATATCTGTTAATTAACTTTGTGAGATTAAACTGTTAATTAACTTAGAAAGATAACATATGAACAGAGAAAGTACAATATCAATTATATTAACAGAGAATTTTTCTGGAATACATGAAATATTTCAAATATAAACAAATAACTTCCATACATAATCTATTATTAGACGCAAGCAAATACATGTAAAAGAAAAATGCACTGATATCTAAAGATCTCATTTGTCTTAACAAAAAGGCATAATGAATAAATTTTACTAAACAGTATTATGGTCTTTTTTGAATTTAGATAATGTTGGCAAATTGCAGTGATAATGTTTCAAATATTTGTTTCCTAAATCCTTATACTTTGGACAGATAAGTAAAAAGTGATACTTTGGTTCTGTTACATTCATTGTACAATATATACATTTCCTTTTGTTTTTATCTATTTTGCTGAATATTTCGGTTTCTATTGCTAACCTATGAGATAATGTCATGTTATTGTGTAACAGAGATTCAACTGTTATTTAAAGTTACATTAAATAAATATGTAAAACTATTTTTGACGTCAGCCTAAAAGCCATGCATTCTACATTTTCATTAACCTTTTAAACAGTATTGTTGTAAATCTCATCAAATATCGTTCATAAATTAGGATTTTAAATGTAAAACCCAACGGTAACACTAAAGTTCGTATACGAATATTAACATGCAAATGAAGACTATGATCAGCTCGTGTATGTGCTACGTCACGGTGTAATAGTTGCTATCCGGAACGAAGAACATATAAGATTTCTTGTGCAAATACACTTTAACCATTAAAGCTTCACGGTACACTAGGCCTGGGGTTCAGAAAAAATAATCATCTTACAAAAAAGATTAAATTTGTATGAAAATTTCCGTTACAATGCAGAAATATACCGTTAAATTAGGACTGCTACTAATAGTCATGTTTGTTGATTTAAAATTGATGTACGGATGATCCGAAGGCGGAGTTTCTCATGCAAATAGAAATTTTACTCCCGAAATCGCCACAATGAGGCTGCACATTTTTATGCTCATAAAACTCATTTTGGTTGTCTGGACACCAAAATCAGATCTGGAGTCGATAAGAAACCCAATTTATTAATGAAATGTCGCTATTTCTGTTTTTTATGAAATTTTTTAAATGTAACTTCAAAAATAATATAATTGAACTGTTCATTTACTTAGAGTGACTGAACTGTTATTATATCTGAGACATAACATGACTGGACTAGCAATTACTGACTAAATAAGTGGTTAATGCTATTTATCAATAAAAGTAATGTTTAATCATATATAAAAGCGATTATTTTACAGTTATTGCATATATGACATGGGAACAGTCAAACTGTTGGCCCTCGGCGAAGGGGTTAGTGTTTTGAACTGTTGCCCAAGGACGTAGGCTGAGGGCAACAGTTTAAAACACTATCCCCAACACCGAGGGACAAATGTTTGACTGTTCCCAAATCACATATGAAATAACTGTTTTATTACCAGTACTTGCAGAGGGAAAAAGGAACAAGATAAAAGTTTTGCACATATGTTCATAATTAAACTTAATACTTTAACTATGTCATGTCTGTTCAATGATCATGATCGATTGACGCTTCAATTGGGAATCCTCTATTGCGTCAATGACGTCTGAGCATGCGAGGGAAACAGTCGAAACTGTTGACCGGTCAACAGTCCACACACGTTGACGTTTTTAAAATTTCAGAAAAAAGTAATAAATACCAAATCACATTTATATAAGGTGGTAATAATATGAATTATTACATCAATAAATTATTATGAAATATTACGTTAATCATTTTTTTATAATATTTTGTAAATACAAAAGAATTGTTAAAATCTGAAACCAGTTGGCTTATATTTTTCCAATTTACACAAAAAACAAAACATTTTTTACCTTCAATTATAATGTTTTATATAATTGTGGGGTACTTACAGTTATTAAGTAAGCATTATTCATGATAGCTAAATATTCAATAATAATTGATGTTTTGGAGATTCTGTTCAATGGTAGACTTCACAAAAATGTCTTCTTTCATATTTTCTTTTTGATGCCCCGTGCCAGTTTTGGGCTGAAAAAAGCAATTCATGTTCAAATTGAAAAATTTAAAAGTTTTTTAACCTTTTTTAACCCCTTCCTTTTGTGGGGAAATTTGCTTTCTGGGGGTTGGAAAAATTTACCGCTTATGAACTCTTGTTAGCGAAGACACACCTTCTTGTACCTAACTTCTAATTTGAATACATGTGGATCAATACTTCTAGGAAGAAAGGTCATTAGTTTATGATCCAAGTACAATAAGATTTTGTCTTAACTATGGCCTGTTTGTGAAATGTTATGTTGAAAACTATTTTTCAATTTGTCCAAATAAATAAGAATGGAATGTCTTTAAAAGACTATGTCAGTCTTATTTGATTCATAATACAGACTAGAATGTTATGTCAGTGGCATTTGTCAAAGTGTCCATTTGCTCTTACTAGTTTATATATATCTATAACTGATGCACTCTGAAGGCAGGTACTTCAATACTGTGCAAATACTGTTATAAGTTACCTATAGGTTTATCATATGATAAAGGTCATTAGTTTATGATCCAAGTACAATAAGATTTTGTCTTAACTATGGCCTGTTTGTGAAATGTTATGTTGAAAACTATTTTTCAATTTGTCCAAATAATTAAGAATGGAATGTCTTTAAAAGACTATGTCAGTCTTATTTGATTCATAATACAGACTAGAATGTTATGTCAGTGGCATTTGGCTAAGTGTCCATTTGCTCTCACTAGTTTTTATATTAAAGTCCCATTATGCGTAAAAATGCTAATTTACATTTGATTTACAGTTTTTGAAATTTTACTTATTGGCCATATATAGATGAGCCATCTTTTGCTTCTTCTTTGTTTTCTCAATTGGTACAGTTACAGTGATAGTGATTTTCAATCAGTGCTTTGTATGGAAGTCAAAATATCACATGTTTCTCATTTTGCTACCATTATCTCAATTGCTTTCATGTTATTTATATTTTCTTCATGTGGTAAGTATCTAATATGTTTTGAATGCATTTTTACAACATTATCAAATACATTTTACCCTTTGTCATAGAATGAAAAAAAAACACTTATTTGAGATAATGTGCCTTTTAGCTGTTTATTTCTTTTTCAGGCGTCAAAACACATGGAAGATTTCAATTCGACACACTGTACTCCGTTACCTACACAATTCTTCAAGCAGCCATGGACACCTTGATAAATGACTGTTAACATAGGCCTTTAACATTTTATTACATTTTTTTTTTGTGCTCACTTTTTTTTAGTATTTGTTGTGTGTTTTTTTGTATTAAGTAATAAAAGTTTACATATAAATGCTGTGAAATGTAATAATGTTTAAGATATTCCATGGTTGAAGCAAAGCAGTCAATATTATGCTGGAATCATTCCACACTGCATGTTTGCATTGTTCTAAATGCTGTCTTTATTAAGATTGCACAAACATTTTTACAAAGTTAACATATAAGTTATTATATTTATTACCTATCTTTTACCATTTAATGGGTATAAAGCTGTATGTAATGAAATATTTTTTATCAAATCTAAAAACAATAAAATTATGTTGTCTCCATAATCTTTTGGTTGATTATCGAATCAGTTGAATAGTTCTGTAAATTAACACACATAAACTGTTTATTAACACTCATGAAAACTGCGTAAACAAGATAAAATGTTATTGAACAAAATATTATTTTGCTATTTAAGGTTGGTTCTTAACCGTTAAGCAATAATTTCCTACTTGCATTATTTGCCCAATAGGAAATGTACAAACATGTTTCTTTCATACCGGCATTTTGAAGTGTTTTTTTTCTCAACTTTTATACAAAAAAGTTTGTAAAATTCTGTGCAACAGCTTTATTTACTTTAAAATGTAAGGATGGTAATCATGTAACTCTTGTGATGGTGAAAGTTATTACCAGGTTTACATACATGACTCCTTTGTATAAGTGTTCTTATTTTGGGCTGAAGTGACAAAACTCAAACTTAAATTTGCTGATAGCCCTGAAGTTTGGCATATTTAGTGAACAGATTATAATTATTTATTATTTATTATTATAATATCATTGTTTATAGCTGTATTTATAAGGGAACATCACTATTTTCACCAGAGCACAACATGCTTTAAGGAGAGCTATTGTGACTGGACTGTGTCCATTGTCTGTTGTATGTCTGCAACTATTGCATGTGGCCAATGTTGTAAAACTGGGCAGCAATTTTAGACAAATGGGAATAAGCAGCTAGGGACTTCATCAGCAGCCATTGTCTTTTCTTATAAATCAGTGACTTTCATAGACATCACTTTTGATAGTAACTTTTGACTTCTTTAGCAACCAGAAACTACTACAGCAACAGGTTTTCTATTTACATGTTTTATTAGCAAGTGAATTCCATAGCAACTACATATTTACTTTCAATGGCAACCAGTGACTTCCATAGCTACTAGTGACTTTTCAAAGCAACTAGTGACTTCTATAGCAAGCATTGACTTTACAATGCCATGTTTTCTGTTCAATGCAATTTTATTTAAAACATATTTATTTGTGCTTAATTGTGAAGACGACTTGTAGGTTATTTGAACCTACCTCCAGCCCTATTCAGTACATGTGTACCGATTTAAAATTAGAAAACATTGTTGTGACCATATCATGGCTTAAATCTGCGATCCCTGAGCAAAGAGGCAGAGAATTAAACACTCCGTCAAGGTTTCCCTTTGTGTTAAATGGTGTTGTGCTCTTGTTTTTTTTATGCTCTCCGAAAAAAATCGAGGGGAGCATATTACAGTCGCCGGGTTGTCCGTCTGTCCATCCCAAATTCGTGTTTTGCCCATAACTTCGTTATTTGAAGTCAGATTTTACAACTAAATCACAAAAATAATTGCCATATTGAGACGACGTGTCACACGCAACATATGGGTGGCTACCTTGTAGGTCAAGGTCACAGCATGACCTTGCAGCAAAATCGTGTCCAGCCCATAACTTCGTTATTTGAAGTTTTTTATACTTAAAACTTTGTCCAGGACATAACTCTTAAATTGTAAGCGATACCAACATGAACCTTTGTTGATAGATAGAACTCATTGTGTAGAAGTGCAGCACAATAAACTGTAACACTGCCTTCCCTAATTATGGAGTAATTGTTCTTTGTTCAATTTTATACACCGAACTTTGTCCGGGACATAACTATGAAACTATTATAGATATCAATATGAAACATTGTAGGTAGATAAATCTCATTGAGTAAAAGTGCAGTGCAAAGGAACCGTAACTCTGCCTACTTATAGAGTAATGTCCCTTTGTTCATTTTTATACTTTTGAACATTGTGCTAGACATAACTTTGAAACTATATTAGATATAAACATGAAACTTTGAAGGTAGATAGATCTTATTAAATAAAAGTTCAATGAAAAAGAACCGTACATCTGCCTTGCCTTATTTTGAAGTTATGGCCCTATGTTCATTTTTACACTTAGAACATTGTCCGGGACATATCTCTGAAACTATAAGAGATATCAACATGAAACTTTGTAGGTAGATAAATCTTATTGAGTAAAAGTGCAGTACCAAGAACAGTAACTCTGCCCTGCCTAATTTTGGAATTATTGCACTTTAAACCTTGTCCGGGATCTAACTCGGGTATTCTTTTCTGTGTCCAAAACCTATTCGGGGAGCATCACCTGGTTCAACCGGCTCTTGTTTTATACTGTGACTATTTTAATTCTCTAAGATTTAGCATGGTTGTGTTATCTTTGGTGCAGCAATTAAAGTTGGAACTACTTTCCTAGTCAATAAAATGCCTACACACTTCTCAACCCAACATAAAAACTGTACAAGGATATTTTCAAGTGACATACAGAATAGCTGGTAATTTAATAAGCCTTTGTCTGAAAAATGCACATTGTAATTTAATAAGCGCCTATACGTACCTGGTTAGGGATTTTTTGTGCTTTTGTAGTCATTATTACTAATTTTTAGAAAATTGTTTTCTATTTTGATAATAACATTTGTATGGTCTCTACCCTAAAATAGGGTTAGATATATCAATACTAACATTGTCATGTATTTTAAAACACAAATATTATGAAAAGAATTGTCAGTTTCAAATTGTTATATACTGGGACATAAAATGATTGCTCTTGTGACCTAGTCATATAATTTAAAAACCCTATAATACATGTACTGTGAAATTGATAGACGAAACATTTTCAGTTTTTCATTAAAATTTTACACAAAATTTGTTGGTTTTTTTTGTTTGTTTTTTTGTTGTTTTTTATGCCCCCCCCGGGGGTATATAGTAATGTTTTGGGCTGTGTGTATTGTGGATAATATATGCTAGACATATATTGATTAAATGTAACTCACTAAGTCAGCGCTTAGCTCTAATGATATAATTATGAAGAGTTCTTGTTCGGTATAATTGAAAACCCCCGCAACGTTTACTTCACATTTCTCAAAGGAGCCTCTTTGAACATGTCAAGTGGTTAAGGTCGTTGACTTTAAATAATTTGCCCCAGGGGATGTCCGCTTCGGTTTAAAACCTGACGGGAACTTAGGATTCTCTCCTGTCATGTGAGGAAGTTATTCAGCTAGCTTACGAAAGGTGGCGGTTCTACTCGCATCTGAGATCTCCCTCCACCAAGCTTTAGACTAACAGTATGACCTTTACAGTCTCGGAGTAACTTGTCTGTATGAATTAAATATCCAGCAAAAGGTAGAAACGTCACCTGGAAAGTCGAGAGTTTGAATATACACTGTTAACCAGAATCAATTTTGGTCAACACTAAATTGACTTATAACAATAAGGTTGATACTCAGGATGACCTAAAACAGACATTCGAGATCGAGTGGCTCGAACAGGACACCATAGATGCATGGCTCGAATATTGTAAAACCTGGAAAAGAATTCTTTTTTAGTCCCAGCGAAAACCGAGCACATTGAAAAAGTTATTAAATAGAAACAAATATGCTTTCAATGTCAAGTGGATGTTGTGTTTTCTAGAGTTCGTTCACACATGCATATTATTGAAGTTTTGAAAAGCATGACGGCTGGGACCAAGGTTATTTTGGGTCCAAAATGACGGTAAGATAGAGCCCCCTATTTCTTAATTCGTTTGTTAAAGCTGCATGCCACCAGATGAGCCAAAATATATCAAAAAATAAAATAAAACTTGAGAAGAATGTAATATAATCTTTATTATAGCATAAAATCGGCTATTTTCCCCTCTTTTGCCCATGTTATAACAGGACCAAAACCATGTGTTAACATAGTCACGCGCTCTTGTTATAGCCCGGTTTCACCTATGCGCAATACATACAGGGCCCAGTAAACAAACAAACAAAAAATGACGAGTTGGCCTGTTTGCCAAAGAGTCATGCGCTCTTGTTATATTGAAAATTGATACGAGGGCCTCAGTCGCATATTCAAGTAACTATGCCGGAAAAAACGGCGTATAGACATCGGTGCTTATCTTTGTTGTCGCCCTTTCTAAGAAACGGACAGTTGTCAATGTAAACAAATACAGTAGAATCTACACGTCTGTCATTCAGTTTAACACTCCGATTAACTTTCAAAACTAGATAACACAAAATTAATATGAGAATGTTTTTATTTATGTCAATGTTGATAAATGCTCTTTATATTTCTTTGAGAGAATAATGCTTAGTGCCTGTTTTTTTGCTTGAAAAAAAAAAACCGATTCTGATGTCACTGATTTTTTTTCTACCGTCAATCTGAAATCATTCTAAGAATTTCTGAGGGTCATGTTTTGTCTTGGGTAGAAGGTAGAGTAACTTAACGGTTTTTTTTCTTGAGATAATAAATCTCCAAAGGCCAAGCTTTGCTAAATCAATTTAAATTCAAAATTTCGTTCGGTTCCGAGAATTTTCCAAGTTGTTGGCCCCGGAAAAATGAAACGCATACGTAAAACATAGAATTGGATAAATACCGTCCAACCACAAGAATTAAAATGTAATTGTGTTTTGTATAAACTATAGATCACGAATCTGTTTGAAAATTTTATGCTATAATAGCGTCAACGCACGTTTATTTCGTGTTATAAAGTCTGCAGAGTCCCTCGGAACTGTTGGAGCCCTCGCCCTACCGGGCTCGGGCACCAACCGTTCCTCGGGACTCTGCAGACGTTATAACACGGAAAAACGTGCGTTAACCCTATAGAAAAGTGAAAAAAAATCAAGATAGCAAATAGCAGTAAGGGTTTTGTGTGCATATGTTTACTTATATCTGGTAATTTGCATGGGTTATAAGTTCCGTTTGCAATATTTCAAGTATTTTCTTTGTTCACTTTACAATATTTTACTTTTTAATACATTTTTAAAGTTTTCATGAAAATTAGCAGGAATCTGGAGGCGTGCTGCTTTAAACAAAACTCAAGTAAAAGTCTCATTTTCGTCTATTTCTTTTATTGTTTCTGAATTAATTTAATTCAATGCAATTTCTCATCAATGACAGAGTTTCGCCTGTGGACTGGCTATATACCAGACTGGTTCCATGCTCGATCATTAATCATACAATCTTTACACAAGAGGTGTAACACAAGAAGAGTCTGGTTCCTTGTATGCTACGCTTCCAGCTGGTAAATTATAGCGGTCTATTGCATACTGAAAAGAGAATAAGAGAATATAATGACATTTAAAAAAAAAAAAATAATAAAAAAAGAAAATAGACATCTGTATCACTGTTAATCCATTTTAATTCATGTACCAGCTTTATTTATAGCATAAATATTTGTTTCTACATGTTATCATAGTTTTGCCGCTAAACGCCATAACGTTTTTCGCGCGTTTAACGCGTGTTCCGTTATGACGTCGCTTCCGGTAATTTTATTATGTTTTGCACTGATGAAGGCATACAGCCGAAACGTTTGCAATTAAATTTAATTACTAAATGTTCGTGTTTGTGTGGCTTGTCTGATTATTATAATATAGGGTTAACGCACGTTTTTCCGTGTTATAACGTCTGCAGAGTCCCGAGGAACGGTTGGTGCCCGAGCCCGGTAGGGCGAGGGCTCCAACAGTTCCGAGGGACTCTGCAGACTTTATAACACGAAATAAACGTGCGTTGACGCTATTATAGCATAAAATTTTCAAACAGATTCGTGATGTATAGTTTATACAAAACACAATTACATTAAATTCTTGTGCTTGGACGGTATTTATCCAATTCTATGTTTTACGTATGCGTTTCGTTTTTCCGGGGCCAACAATTTGGAAAATTCTCGGAACCGAACGAAATTTTGAATTTTAATTGATTTAACAAAGCTTGGCCTTTGGAGATTTATTATCTCAAGAAAATAAAAACGTTACAATACTCTACCCTCTACCCAAGACAAAACATGACCCTCAGAAATTCTTAGAATGATTTCAGATTGACGGTAGAAAAAGATCAGTGACATCAGAATCGGTTTTTTTTTCAAGCAAACAAGTTTACAAAAAATCAGGCACTAAGCATTATTCTCTCAAAGAAATATAAAGAGCATTTATAAACATAAATAAAAAAACATTTTCTCATATTAATTTTGTGTTATATTGTTTCGTAAGTTAATCGGAGTGTTAAACTGAATGACAGGTAGATTCTACTGTATTTGTTTACATTGACAACTGTCCGTTTCTTAGAAAGGGCGACAACCAAGATTAGCACCGATGTCTATACGCCGTTTTTTCCGGCATAGTTACTTGAATATTATATTACGACTGAGGCCCTCGAATCAATAAATTTCAATATAACAAGAGCGCATGACTCTTTGGCAAACAGGCCAAATCGTCATTTTTTGTTTGTTTGTTTACTGGGCCCTGTATGTATTGCGCATAGGTGAAACCGGGCTATAACAAGAGCGCGTGACTATGTTAACACATGGTTTTGGTCCCGTTATAACATGGGCAAAAGAGGGAAAAATAGCCGATTTTATGCTATAATGACATTTATCACATACCCGTGCGGTCTTTGCGACTCCTTTAAAAACCGTATTGCACGGCCATGCATATATTTTGACGTAACGTCATTTGCGTCATAACAACAGCGTAAAGAATTGCTAAATGTTACCATTACACTATAGGCGCGTCAATAAAAAGGTCGTGAATCTTTTTCCATGTTAAACTGTTATAATTATGGGTGTGATAAATAGAATATTATACTCGTGTGAATTCAATATCAAAATTATTTAACTCATCGAAAAAAAAACAACAATATTATGCTCGCCAGACCGTTTGTAGCATTTGAATACTCGCAGTCTTTCAATACGCTGAGAATCTGTCTGAAAGAACACTCTGTTCTTTTGGACAAATTATTATTTCTGAACAGAAATGTGTGATTGTCGTAATGCGACAAAATAATAATAATAATTTAATACTGTTGTACAGATATAACAATTTTGGTATAGAAAATATAAAAAAATATTTCATTTTTCTGAGAAAGTGGGAGGGGAGTGGGTGGTGATAAATTGGTCTTGTGGGCGTGGTCTAATTAAACTACTTACTGCTGGCTGTCTCGTCATAGAGGAACAGATTGATCTTTCACTGGACGTTTCGAGAGCGTTCCTTAACTGTTGTTTCATAGGGGCGTCCCATTGTGTCACATTTCCGAGAAAAGCCGCAGCTCTTTGTTCAGGAATCTAGATTGTATTTGAGAAAAAAAGATAATAGGTAAAACACAATATCTGATTGTTACAAATTGCCATAGAAATACTTTTTGCTTGTACTCCTTTCAAATAAAGAATATGTACATTAGAGGAAATATGCGTTTCAAAAAATCTATGAAGAAAAAATAACGTCCGTCAATATGTTTGATTGATATCAGTGTATCAATGATAGAAAACATGTTATGATTCTTGTTTGTTTGTTGTTATTGTTGTTGTAAAAGACGTTGAACACGTTGCTCTTAGGTAAACCAGTTATCAATACATCTAAATATCTATTTAACCTCCTCATTTATATTTATTTTTTATCTTCTTTGATATGATAAAGCGTTTTTAACAAGACTTTTTTTCTTGTTCCTAGTCGTATCGGCGCTTATCACAATGTATATAGAAACGGAGTGTGAGTAATATTGCCGAAAATATCATGTATGGCTTTTTTCCTCATATAATTCTCAGTCAATCGAATTTTCACATCTTACCTTGGTACCGTTTGTAGAATACAGATTATCATAACTGGACCAACTGAGACACATGTCGAAAGGTTTGGCGGGATAATACACGACTGTTGCCCGGCATGTCTCTTCAACACGGGACCAGCCACCCTGTAATTATACACACGAATAGCATCGGACTTTGAACAATGTCTTCTTAAAAACGTGTCAATTTCTTATTAAACACATTGTGATAACACCGCCATGTTTTACACAAAACATGCAAGTTTTAAAGGATTATATTAATTCACCAAAATAACGAAATAAACAGAAAAAAAGATGCTAAGGGCTCCGAACCCTTTGCAAGAAGAACTTTTTGCATTCAGTCATATGTAAAATACTGCAAAATATGGTTTGTTGTCAAACATGCTCTGTATAAACGCCGCTGAATAACGACACATATGTCGAATCCTGGAATGCATGACAATATTAACTATGATTTTTTTTGAAGCAGTCATTCACATTTAATAGTAAAATCTTAATAAAAAACCTATAGTATTTTCTATACAGTTAAATGTAAAGTAGAAGTGTTTACAAATGATATGATATTATCTAGAAGACGCGTTGGTATTCCCGCAAGGATTTTTTTAATGATAATAACTTCAATTCTTAAATTATGTCATAATCCCTTTTTAAACTGTTTTGCAATTCATTGAAATATTATCATTATTTTTTATGTTTCTTTTTTTCAAATGTCATTTCTGTGTTTTATATACTTTTTTTGAAAATTTCTTTTAAAAACTAATGAGAAAATATCAAAGAATTCCCAAAGTCAAGAATGCCTGCGTGAAAAATATGATCTTTTGCTCTTTAAAACTTTTTTCCCTCAAATATTCGTGACTTTTCATAATGACTTTTCATTCAAGAAAAAAATAAAAAATATAAAAACGACACAAAATGAATTATATTTGCTTAACAAAGTTAAAATCTCTGTTCCTGCTAATAGAACAGATCTGAAGTTAGTTAAAATCAAATATGCGCGATAAAAAACCCACAATAAGATAATTGGTTTTATAATTATTTGACTCTCTAAATTAATCTAATCTGTGCGCGAAAAACAAGATACAGAGCTCCCAATTTTCCCGATTTAACTTGCAAGGAGACAGTCAATGGATTTTGATGTCATGATTTTCAAGTAACTGCTACTGAAATGATATTGCCAATCTTGTGGAATATCCCCCACCCCTCCTACTATTTTTTAAGGGAATCACTATAGTGAATGTATGATAGATAATTGTACATTTATGTTTAAAAGACTTAAATATTGAAGTTATGTAACAAAGAATTAAACAGCATTTATTGAAAGCATATTCTGGATCTATATCATATATAATAAATTATAATTATACTGTATATAAAAGAATATACGTGTTACTGAAATATGATTATACCATACCACTGTTATTGATGTCCTAGTGGAGGTGTTGAAAGTACATTCAACCATAAGTGTGTCCGTCTGAAATAAATATTCACAGATATAGCCCATTGGGAGGACACACGAAGTATTAGAACTGGTTTACATACAGATTTAGTGGGATTTAGAGACTGTTTATTTTGTTACGATATTTACAGCAAGTCTGTGATTTTTTTTTAATTTGCAATAGCCTATTTGTTTTGCTATTTTCTCTATTTTCTTATCGATAAATTGTAAATATAATTCGAAGTAGTGAGTATGATATGTTCAATTTTGCATGGTCCAGAGTTGAACAAAGTCCGTCCACAAATAACCTATTTATACAGAAAAATGTTCGTGTCGGGTTATAAGTGCCTCTGAGTGTAGGTTCATCAATGAAAAATGATTCTTTTGCACTTTAAACATTCTTTATTGTGGGTATGTGGTAAATAGAAAATGTAGGTTTAATACTGATAATGGCGACAATTGTATATCGTATATATGTCACTTTTTACACATACAGGCTGGCCTGTACATATATTCATCTTGGACAGGCTGTCTATTATAATTTACTCGAAATAAGTATTTCGTTACAATTTTAGACCAAATTACATATCAGTCTAAATATCAGCCTTTCGGACAGACCCAGGTCATATATGAAATTAGTTAATTTTCTGACATTTACACAAATCTATGGCTTAGAAAATGAATTATATAAAATAAAGATCTACAACAGATACTATATTACAATATGAAAATGGCATGCATGTGCTCTTATTCATGTTTGATTGTTTACTATTTCAACACCAGTAACAAAATACACTCCTTAGCTACACCTATGTTCTTATAACAGAATATTATCAAAACATGTCAAAATAACAATATCAAAACATGTTTTCATACAGAACATTTACGTAAAAGAAGCGTATTTTCTATTAACAAAACAATTAACAAGAAGTCTGCATTGGTCACACTTCTAATATTCAGGGTATATATTAATTTTGCTTGTCATTGTTGTTTGAATTTCTTTTTGCAACCACAGCAAAAACAACAAATGATCGCTCAATCCCTTTTTCTCGGTTGTGTACCCGGAGTCATGGAAATATATATATTTTTTGTAAATATAGCAGTTTTTTTCTGTGCAAGCTTTGAATCTTCAAACTGGAAATCTAGGGCTTCTATTCATCATATCACGATTATATACTTGCAAACAGACGTTAATTTCAGCGTATGTTGTAAATTTCTGCTGCACAAATCGCCAAAAAAGCGTTGGTTTGACAAACGGCAAGAAAAAGAAATTATCGATCTCTATGTGCGAAGAGTGACTAATAATATCCGTCATATGTTGCGGTTCGGGTCGGAATGTCCATAACATCATACATGCTAAGTAATACAGAGAATGCTAGCAATTTGGCATTTTGGTTCACTTGTTTGTCATTCACTTACCGGTTCTATAGTTACGGGAGTAGTTAGCAACCTTGGTGCTTGATGAAAGTTAGAAAACTTCCGGTCTACAGTAATCCACGGCAATTCCCGATTCCCCCGGAAGTGACGTACTTTTATTGCAGAGGCTACGTCATTTCCTTTCAGTATAACTGCTATTGCCTTCATTGGCGTTTTGTCTGTTGCAAATCCCTGCAAATACATTGTTATTCATGCTTTAATCTACACTTATTCTTAGTATGCTGGTAAATGACATTTGCATCTTAGTTTAAAGGCACATTATTCCTCAGAAACGAATTTAAAAAAGCAAACAGTAGTTTTATAGTTTAAATCATAGTTAAAGAGCATGAACTACATGCTTATCACCTATAAAAAGCAGTACTGAGTGTGAAATTATCTATCAATAGCGTACCAAAATGTAAACAAAGTAGTATTATGATTTCCATATAAAATATTTAAACACTGTTAGTGTACTTAGTGACAAAAAAAACCACAAAAAAACAGACGCAAACGATTGCAAATGAGTTACAATGAGTGACATAAAAGGGCTATTGAGAAATAAAACATTAAAGCATTTCTGAGGCTTAAGATTGGCAATTCTGAGGCTTATTCTGCTTAAGCCGGTGCTAGGTGGCGTGGACGATCACGTGCACTTTCAATTACCGTCCATTAACAGGTCCAATCAAACCGAGCCTGCAACATTGTCAATTTTGTTGTGTTGGGCGTTTTTTTTAAAGATTCCGTTTTTCTCTATTTTAATGGGCCTTTTAGAGAGTCCTTAGAGAGTTACAAGTACAAATTTGTTTCCCAACAAGAAAATTACGGACTTGTCCAACAAAATTCAGGGTTTTTTTCTCCGCAACCTGCTGTACAAATCGTGTGTTTTGCTAAAGTCTCGAACTTACGGACGGACCGCTCTCGCTATTGTCCTAAACGGACAGGTTGTTATCAAGGGTGGTCGGTAAAGTAAGATTTATTATTTCCTTACCCAGTTCATACACCTTGGTGAGCAGACCGACGTAGATGTGAATGAATTTTCCTGTTCTGGAATAATTTGCCTCCAACCTGGGCTGATCACTTTACCCAACTCTAGCATACCGGCTTGGTGTGCAATAGGTGAAGTTGTGTAGGTGATCTGCAGACCAGAACTGTCTGGAATCGCCATAGGGACTCCTGAAAACGTACAAAGACATAACATAATATAACGAATACTATATGGTTTTGTTTGCTTTTGTGTAAGTAAGGTGGGATTTTTTTATAATTTTTATTATACTTAATAACCAGAATTCCTTAATTATCGGATCCTTGCGAGATATGTAAGCTAACATTATCTACAATTATATTGTTAAATGCAATAGATTTCAATGAAGGTTGCCATAAAGTATCTAAGAAAAACAAAACCACATATCAATTTTTTAAAGCAATAAAATATTGTCCTCCCCCGGAGTTTAACTTTCACGTTTAAGAGAATTAAGATTTTAGGTGTCATTCAATATGCACTTATTCAAAATCGGAAATGTTTGACAAAATTAAGCAGTAACACAAAACGCTGAAAACAAACGTGGAAATGCTTAAAAGCCATCAATTCATAAAATTGTCACAGAAAATGCTTAAATTACCCCAAAGTTAGTGAAATTACCACAAAGCGGAAGCAATTCTAAACGAAACACGTCTAAATAGAGAACATCACGCCAAATCTAATGACGTCATAACAGCGAATTTTAGACTGCATAGCCATTTCAGAATTGTTTTGTTTCAAGCAATTAAAATCACTTGTACTTCTAAAATATTCTATAATTCTATAAATGAGTATTCTAATTTCTCATAGTCTCTGATTTTCTATTTACGCTTTGCGCTCAACAAATACAAAACTTTTAAAGGAACCCCCCTCGAGTCAAAATGCATAAGGCACATACAATTTAAAATTCTTACATAGACAAACTGTAGCACTTAAACAAGAAGATATGCAAACGACAAATAAGTAATTTGACTCAACAACAAAAAAATAAAATCCTATTTTTTTGTGTTATTCTTAGCCCGATTTTGGGGCATTTTTTCACAATTAAAATACATATTTTTGGGAAAACTGAGAAAGCGAAGGATCTGAAATTTTGCACACAGGTTATTGACGTAGACCTAGTTCAAACATAACACAAATCTTGAAAAATATTTCCAGTCCCGTCATGTAAAATGGGTTGTGTCCCTTTAAAAACAGATGTCAAACATATAATATGAAAAAGGCAAAGCCTCAAAGCGAGCTCGATCTACTTTTATTTTTATTTTACATTTTCCGTTTTAAAATTGTCATTCGGTATTTTATACACTGCTTCCGTTAATCTGAATAAATAAATAAATAAATAAATAAATAGATAAATAAATAAATAAATAAATAAATAAATAAACAAATAAATAAATGAACGAACGAACGAACGAACGAACAAATAAATAAATAAATAATATTTGTAAGAGTGGTCTGTACACACAGTTTTTATTATAATTTATGTACAGTGACCATCATTATCTAACAAAACAGAAAACAATAAATAAAATACATATATCAAGGAAAAGATAACATGATTTATGATTTAACTCACCATTTTGATCTATAGTCTCTTGATATTTGGAATAATGGATTTCTAGCACGTAACTTGAAGCGTCATTTTGTCCTCCTATTTGGATACCAACATTTTCAGGAAAATGAAAGCTCTGTAAGTGATTTGTAAACAGTGCAAATGTTATAAATAAACTATTTAGAAGTTAAATATATCTTACATAATTCAATTAGAATAAAAAATATGATATCGTTTTTTTAGATGATATTTTACTTTTTATTATTCTAATTATTATGAACTTTATTTCTAAATTAAAAACTTGGGTCTACTGAGTGTATAACTGTCCAGGAAACATATACTAGTTGTGGTTTTTATATAACCTTTCACCACATCATGCATTTATTACATGTGTCATCGAAAAGATCCAGTTTGTTGAATAAAGAACAATAAAGCGAGTGCAGAAAAAAACGCTACTTTCCGCTTAATAAAAAAGGCAATTACGAAATTAATTTTTTTTTTATTATTTTTTATATATAAAAAAAGTTAATTGTGTCCATTCAGCTACGTGAATTTATGTTTCATTTCGTATTATGACGTCGTCTGCTTAATAATTCGTATGAATTCGGATCACTTCGCCACACTCCGTTTAATCTATTTGGAAAGAAGCTGGTTTATTTTAATTTTTGGTCCTTCTGAAAAAAAACCTGTATTTCCCTGCCCTCTGAATTTTAACACATTTCCATTGTTTTATATAATATAACTAGTATAATAGAAACATTTCGTATATAGCATAACTTTCTGTGTTTTGTTAAAGTCAAATAAGAACAAATCCATGTATTACCAGATGCAACAAATTTTGTCCTTTCGCCATCATAGAAATATAAAGAATTAAATACGGAACATGGCGATGATGGCCGATTGTTAACGATTAATACCGAAGGTTTGCGAGAACAAATCTCACTGGAGAAAAACATACCTGTGCTCCCATTGACCAGGTTGCCACAATATTCTTGCAAGATTTGACGGAATTTGGAGCCTCGTTCTCGCATTCAAATCTTGAATAGGTCAAGGACGGGTCATTCAAATCGCATTTATAGAGGTTCATTCTGTAAACAAACGCTTCGTTCCCTGGTGTTATATCTGCTTCATACTAAAATTAAAGACACAACTTGGTAATAGATAGTATAATATTAAGATTAAGTTAAGTAAATATTGAATAACCAAAAAAGGGGGAAAACACACAAACCCATTAAATCATTGACTATGCTGGAAGGTGCAAAAGAATAAATTGTTACTAGCAAGTATGTTTCGAGTTAGTTAATAAAGGTACTCAAAGAAAAGCTCAATATCCTCTTGATAAATATATTTGGTAGATTTTGTTTAGGTTTACTTGTTACTATTATATCTTTTTATTTGATATTAAATACTTGTCTAGCGCTAATTTAGCGAATAATGTGATCGCATCAAATTATGATATATCAAAGCATATGATCAATGAATTTTAAATTTTCTATATCTATACTTTTATAGCTTAAATTGTATCTTATTTGAGCGGTAGACTTAAACATTTCTATTATCTCATGATTTATACTACCTATGAACCAAGTAAAAGGGTGAATGAAAATACAGCGTTTTATTTATTTGAATTAATATACAATTAAGTACCGATTTTTCATTAAATAAGCATGCCTCCAGATTTATGCTTATTTTCATGAAACTTGTGAAAATGTATAAAAAAAGTAAAATATTGTAAAGTGATCAAAGAAAGTATATAATATACACATTGCAATCGGAATTTAAAATATACGAATATTAACTAATAAATGTCAAAATATGCCCACAAAAAGAGCAGTTACTGCGTAAGTAATGAAGTAGAAATAAGGTGATAAATACTGCAAAAATCAATCATAATTGCATATAAAATGTAAATTATATCATGTACTAAAATTGTTAACATCTTCAATTTCCTTGAAATATTGTATTACAATTTTGTTATGGTTGATTTTTTAAAATTATTTTTGCTCATCTGGAGGCGTGCAGCTTGAAAAACTATCACTGTTATAATATCATCTGAAATGTTTGTAATTACTACTTTTATCAATTAATCAGGACAGCTTATCGTTTATAAAATCATAAGAAAAGACATGCTGTTTATAAATATATACTAGACGGAAATACCTTAATCAAATGCCCTTCGGGTATCATGCTTTTGAGGTCAAAAACAATGCACTGTAAAGTGGATCCAGTAGCAGGAATTATATACTGAAATAAAAAAAGTATTTGCATTATTCTGGGCATCAAACAACTGCTAGATCATGATGCTATATTTCATAATTATTATGATAATTGATTAAAATGGCACTTTTGTTAGAATAAATGTCTAACATATGACCACCAACCGTGTTCTTTAAAGGGAAATAACTGGCATGCATGCATGCATGCAGATTGCTTAATTCACTATTTAGTTAAGAAACAACTATTTCGCTACCTCGTGATTTTTCAGAGGTATGGAGAAGGTATTTGCTGGTGGAAAGCTTGTTGGCATGACGTCACTTTCCAGGAGAATGATACTGGTGGATCCCCGCTTTGTTTCTCCATGATAGGGTACCAGCCCGTTGCTTAGTTCCGGGTCTTCCCCGCCAAAACTCCAAATCAGTTGTATACGATCTTTCTGCAATATAAATCGTATCATATTTAGGTTCTTTATAATGTTTGGCTCATAAAAGTGCGGTCAATAATATAAATTTAGGAAAGGACATTTAACATTTTTTATGTGTTTTCCATATTGTTATATTGCTATGTGTTGTCAAGAAATACGTTTCTGATTTGCAAAATACATTAAACTTGACAATGCTAACAATGTTTTCTTTGATCTGGATAATAAAAAAATTATCAAATTTATACATATTTGGAAAGGTTAAAAACAAAATTGTCTAAGATATCTTTACAGGGACAATCAAGGAGAAAGTGGTATTCATTTTCCAATCTTCACATCTAACATGATGTGCTTATATTGTCTTCAAATTGGATATAATCATATCTTCTTTTTTTCTCAATAAAAATATTGTGTGAAGAGGTTCTAAATCTAGTAAGTGCTGTTCTAATTATATACCGTAATTGGGCGATCACCGTCATCACACGTGACCAACTGTCGTGAAAATCTGAGAATGGTTGTCCCATTAACTTCCTTTCCGTCCTGAATAACCCAGTCTTGCGAGGTGTCATTGTACGGTGTGCGTGAGTCTGCCAACGTGTGATAATCCTGAAAAATAAAAGTTTTATATCGTAAATGCCTATTTTGTTCATATAACTTAGTTTATAAAATGAAACAAGAAAACAGAATAATGAGCATTTGTACTGGTACTACGAGTATATGCAAATATTGCGGTATATATATCGTCCGCGACAAGTCCCAACAGAACCTGCAAAGGCATTTGATGCATTTCTGGTGTCCAAATTAACGAGAATTAATGACACGACTGTTAAAGAAAATAACTGGTCTAGCAATAAATAATTGTAATTATACATTTTCTATCACGACTTTAAGTGCATTTAAAAGCGGTGAATTGATATGTTTGTTTGTTTGATTGGGTTTTACGTCACGCTGACACAGTATAGGCCATATGGCGACGATCCAGCTTTACTGATGGAGAAAGACATCAGATGCCGTTCTGTGCATTATTGTAGGCTGGAACGGGCGTCTGAGTAAAGCCACCGGTTGATTTGATATAGATATATCTTGCATTATGTTTGATTAAGAAATTCTGAAAATTTGTTGATACTGGACTCTCATACATGGCCTTAAATCGGATCTGAGAACTGCACTCGAGCAGGGTTCCTGACAAAGATAATACCATTATACTATAATTACCATATCATATGCTGGTTGGCTGCATGAGTTAAAATGTGAATTTTGTCAATATATACTAATAGCTATATATCTACTTACTTGTATAACTATTTTATTATTTTTCAGATAAATATTATTAATATTATATTTGCTTCAATATTTCCGCCTGTTGACAGATTCCCAAATATAAAATAGCAACTACACATACACGTGTATGCTGGACACAGAGACAAAATGATCATATTTCGCATTAACGTATGTAAATTCTCTCAAATACATGTGTGCATGTGCATTTAGATCATTTAACAATCCATACAACATGTAATGGACGTTGTAGTTACATGAAAACGTTAATTTTAGATACAATTAACTTTGCATATACATGATGTTTTTGCCAACGGCAAGGAACGGTGCATTCCTTCATCTACATAAAATATTGTACATTTCAAACTGTCATTTCATCTATACGATCAATCGATTGACTTTAACAGGGCGTAAATACTGGTGACATTTAGCCGAAAACTAATGGATATCACTATTAAAAAATCGTAGGAAAAAAAAAAAAAGAAAAAGAAAACAACAAAAACTAAAAAAAAAAAAAAAATCTAGTTTTGACAGCCCGAAGTAGTTTAAGCGGAAAAACATGTTATCATGTAAAGAATCTTTCTTTGGTTTAAAACATTAATCTATTTAAAAAATCAAAATCATCAATTATAAACTTTCAAAATGAAAAAGATTGTGTTCACATTAACTTAAGTTTTATATATAAGGACATAAAGACAGCCATGCGTTTATTTTCTTCCAATAATTGGAATGAAAAAGTTCTTTGAATGTTATAAATCACCACTTATTTTATTTATTTCATTTTGATATCTAAGAAATTATATAAATCTTCTTGTAATTATGACATTTTTCCTGAAACGTACTTTCAATACATTCAATACACGTCATTGCATGTATATAGTTTTTTAAACGGTCCCCTCTTTATTTATTCTAAACATCAAGCCAAGATAACTAATAATAGCCCCGCCTTTTAGTTTAGTTTTGTTTTTGTAAATGAACATTGATAAGCACTTACTCCGAGATACATGTTTCCTTCGGAGATCCATCCTATAAGTATGTCTGCGGGATTCATCAGCCCAACATCTGAAAACCCGAAGCCCACATATCCCAATGTGTTCACCGTCAGCTCGAAATCAATGTGCGTGTCGTTAAATCGCCACCCCATGACATAATTCCTGTCGTAATCCAGTGCTCTATAATACTTATAATCCAAGGTTTGAGTACATACTTGAGAAATTATAGGAAACAGAGATAAAATTAAAAGACATTTGTGTTTTAACGTCATGTTGGCTTATGAAAGACGTGGAGTATTGTGAACGATGCGACGTTAACGCAACGACGTTAACGAAAAATGGATTTCGCCTGTCATTAATCACGTGGTTTTTACAGTGTACTTGTCTTTTTGTTGATTTGATAATTTGTCATTTATGACATGGTTTTACCTTTGTTTTACCAGTATAGACAAGTATCGTTAATTGCTTTTTATTCATCATCGTTTGATGTCTCAATTTACAATGTTACATATATTTGATATAAAGAGAAAACAATAATGATATATGTCATTGAATGTTTGCTTGTTACCGACAAATTTGTTATTCATGTACTTACTATATTGATGTATTTACAACACTTTAAAGATGTTGATTTTTGATTTTGTACGTCTAAGTAGGTTTTATTTTGAAGAAAGGAGTCTATCAGATAGCCTACATAAATATACATGTCAGTTGCTTATATTAACATTATGTGGTAAAGTAAATATGTTACATTAAGTTCAATGGACATCTAACTTGCTCGGTTGGCTAGGTAAAATGATGAGATTTTTTATCTAATTTCTTAACGTAATTAATAAATTTTTCAAAATTTTGTATCATTTAGTACATGTATATATATTTCAGGGAAGAGATTATTCCGATAGGTTCTGTTATAAAAACTTATATTATTACTTGTTTAAATATATTTTTCATTACTACTCCATTTTTAAATTGAACTATTAATTCATCGTCTAATTAATATATAAACATAAGCGCTGATGTATTCTTTTGTACTATTCGTCCTGCGTGTTTATTTGGTAGGGAGAAGATCTGGGTTCATAAGCCAGCCATCATAGCTAAATCGGTTAGAGCGCAATACTTGTAATCTCGACATTGTTGGTTCGATTCCCGGGCTGGTCAACTATAATTACAAACCAGTCTTTCGGATGAGACTTTAAATCGAGGTCCTGTATACGAGTGCTTAACCACTTGTCACGCTAAAGAACCAAAAGAAGCTTCTTGAATTAGCGCATCTTTCTGTTTCTGTATCTTACACCATCCTCCGAAATCTAAAATGACTAATACTCTTCTTGAGGACTAGCCAATATGGCCAACCAGTGGCGAGTATAAATAAACTTAAATACATTCACCGGGATCATATTAGATATATGGGAAACTAATAAACTTTATTTATGTTGATGTTTGGCGTAATTAAAGGCAATAAAATCTTATTTTATTATATCGTATGTAATGACCGGTATATTGATTTAAACTAAAGATTGAAATGTATTTAGTGTTACATATTTACAAACTTGAAATGCGGAAATCAGTGAATGATCTAGGCATGAATAGACAAATTAAAATGTTTGTTAATACGCCATTTATGCTCATGTATTTTATTTATCATTATTTCTTAAGAAGATATCATAAGATATACTGAACATAATTGATAAATAAGCATTTTGACATCTTTGACAGGTGGTCAATTCCCGCGATCTCTCTTTTTAAAAAATAAAATCCCCGCTTTTTTAGAAGCGTTATGGTAGCTGTAGATTCCCGGGATCTCTATATATCTTATACTATCCCGCCTTTATTACTGGGATTTTCCGGAATCTCTTAATTGGTATACACTTACTTATGACAATATGATGAAAGCTTTTCTGTTTTCAATATTGAGCACCCAAGATCGTAATGAAGCCGTAAGGATAAGGATAATTTGTTCTTTTAATGACATTTGTTGTGATTTTATAAATGAATATAGAATATACCCTTTAATTGATAATAACATTGACTTAAGAGTAAAATATTACAAAAACTTTATCAGTATGCATATGTTTTACTAGTGGAAATAACACTGAAGATCTAAGAAGGATAATCTAAGTATTTTGGTGACCGTAATGGTTGTATATTGATACATTATTGTAAAACAAAAATTCAAAATCGACTTAACTTGAAGGCGTACTGTACCTGGTTGCTTATAAATCTGCTAATAAATGTCTGAAACAATAACGATGTATTTTGTTTTTTGTTTTATGGTACCAGAAAGTATTCACTTTGCATGTTTATATTTCGTGCAAAAAAGAAAACAAATACATGTATACAACATGAAGTTAGATAGTACAGGGATTTATAAAACATATTATCAAACGCCATGGATCGTATAAAAATAACATGTTTAACTTGTTCACAGATTAAAAAAAATGAAAATATGCATGTTTTAATTAAATATTTCTTTATGCAAAAAAAGTTATTCGCCAATAAAACATTTGAGCCGCATCACGACAAAACCAACATCCGCGCAGTCTGATCAGGATCCATGCTGTTCGCTATCAGTTTCTCTACTCGTTATAGGGTTTGTAAGCAAACAGCATGGATTCTGATCAGACTGCGCGGATGCGCAGGCCGGTTCGGGATCAATGCTGGTCGCAAATCTATTATGTTAGTTTTGTCGTGACACGGCTCATTTGGCGATTTGATTATAAAATTTAAAAGAACTGTGAGTAACTTATAGAACGGATTGACCAGTAGGCGACCCCAAACTATTGTCTTCGCTGTTTAAAAAAGTTAACATTGGTGTACTGAATGTGTCTAATAACAAATACTTTCAAAACAATTTTAAAACTAAATACATATAACATATTACACATTTATTTCTATTGAACATTTCAATCGCGCACACTATACATCAGTATGTTTATAAACGTTATAGATCATTGATTACGGCACTTTTAAGTGTCAAGCCGGTGCTAGGGGGTGTGAGGGATATTCCATTTTTTCATTATTCCTCATGTACAGACCAAATCAAACCGAGTCTGCATTTTTCATGTAATTTTGTTGAGATTAATGTACCGAGGGATTATCCTCCTTCCATATTTTATAGGTATGTTAAAGGTACCAGATACAATTATTTCAAAAATTTTCTTAATCCAGTGATTTATATAATAAATCCAAAGATTTATAGGACAGGAAATTTAGTTCCGTGACGAATCCAATTAAATATATTTCAATAAAATTTGCTTGATGTTTCGAAACAGTGCTTAGGATATACTAAAGTGTAAGTAAGCAATATATATATATGATTAAAGGATTATTTTGGTGTCCCTAATGCATATGTCTGGAAATCGTTCCAAATCATCGCTATTGTGTGGTAACTAAGACCACATATTCATATTTTCCAAGGGAAAGTTCCGAAGACGCTGATTAGGTTGTAAAAAATCCACTTTACGTATATAAAAATTGAGTGCCATTTTTCATTGCTATTTCCACCCACTGTATACAAAATAAATATTTTACCTTATTTTGCATCTGATAAAGTATTATTTTCATGTATTGATACTTTCCATTAATATGACATACTGTATATTTAGCACTTCTTTTCGGTAAAATTTTAGGACTTTAGTACAGATATAAGTATGTATTTTTACGGTATTTTACTGTGCATTATTGTAAATAAAATATATCGAAAGCATTTAACGATGTAAGAATTTTTGTCAGCAAACATGTGTCAGCACAAATTTATAATCATCATAAAATGTCCTTCTTTCACTCTCATTCATGCATAACATAACAGATCTATAACAATGTGCAGGGAGTATTTTGTCAATGAGGCCAGTTCCCAGATTAATCATAAATCTAAAATGATCCTGGATCCCGGCTTTTCTAAAGGAAACTTCTACCGTATATTTTTGATCGTTTAATTTAATTAAGCCATGTGATATCACATTCCCTTCGTTGATTCATACTATATAATCACAAATTCTATTAAATAGTTAATTCGCTACCCAAAATATAGAATGGCATAGATAGATTAAATACTGAATCTAATTTGTATACTCAGGAATTTGATAGTCTAAGAATAAAAAAGCATGAAAAGTGAGTACAATAATCAAATGACAAATTTAGATATTAGGGCCAAAGAGCCGTTACCATTTTGTGTAAAAAATGATGATAATAAAAAAGAAATTGGCATTTTAATGAACCAATCTTTCAGGATTGTCTTCTTTTAATAAATGTTTTTATGTCAACATTTCAATTTGTTGTATCTTTGCCTGAAGAAGTTTTCTCTGTTTGATAATTTTCAAGAATAACACTACACTTTGAAATTGAAATGGCCATTTAATAATAAATGACGGAAAAACATATAATACAATGTTGATATGAAAGTTATCAAACTAACATAAAATTGTGAAATGGCCATTTAATAATAAATGACATATAAACATATAAAACAATGCTGATATGAAAGTTATAATATAACATAAAATTGTATACAAAGCAAGCAAACATTTCTGAAAAAATGTATATAAAATTATATACACACATATCCCGAAAAATTATCAAAGGTTGGGTTCTAAGAATATTGCCTTGCCTAAAACTGTGTATGAAATTAATATACACACATATCTTGAAGTGAAAAAAAAAAAACCATTTGTATATAAAATTATAAACAAACACAAAACCTTTTGATGTTTATAAGCTTGTCAAAAAATTGAATACTGAATGTGGGGGGATGGTGGGTTATTGAAAAATTGTTATGAATTATTTCTTCTTCTAAAATGGCGGACTTAATCCGCATCAATTATCACATTGTACTTACTCATAACGATAACCTTAGTGTACTTACTAGTACGGCTTTTTTCGAACCCAATATATTTCGACCTATGACTAAAGACCTAATGGAACCCACCATCAAGCTTGTAAGTGACCATAAAAACATTTATTTTGCAATAAATTAAGTTTTATGTCAACATTTCAATTTGTTGTATCTTTGCCTGAAGAAGTTTTCTCTGTTTGATAATTTTCAAGAATAACACTACACTTTGAAATTGAAATGGCCATTTAATAATAAATGACGGAAAAACATATAATACAATGTTGATATGAAAGTTATCAAACTAACATAAAATTGTGAAATGGCCATTTAATAATAAATGACATATAAACATATAAAACAATGCTGATATGAAAGTTATAATATAACATAAATTGTATACAAAGCAAGCAAACATTTCTGAAAAATGTATATAAAATTATATACACACATATCCCGAAAAATTATCAAAGGTTGGGTTCTAAGAATATTGCCACAAATTGTGTA